TGCCATGCTAAACTAAAATGTTGAACATTATAAATCTGCTAAACATCAGCATGCTGGCATTGTCACTGTGAGTGTGTTACCATGCAGACATTAGCATTTAGCTCAAAGCACAAGTGCAGAGCTGCTAGCATGGCTTCAGACTCTTGTTTAAATTAATGATGACAGTATTGAACAGGTTCGTCTCCTGTGCATGAATGTGCTCAACAAATTACCTGCCGATCAGCCTTTTAGATGATACAGCATCTAGTGAAAGTGGACACAGGATCATCAAAATCACATGCGTTCATCTTTAAGAAACCAGCTGGCCACCAATCCTGTGTACAAGGTTGATAATTTGGCATAAGAGCAGCACTACAGTGGCTGCAACATACAGTATACAACACAAACCTGGTCAATATCACTACAATGTTAATTCATTTTTGAAAAACAGATGTTTGACTAATTAAACTATAATTAAAGATCCACATTAAATGACCAACTGCAACAAAAGTCAGTAAACCCTTCATTAGTGAGATTTCATTCTTTTATTTATCTAATATTTTGTACGTCTGCCTTGACCTGGGCATGGGTGAGATGTTTGTTCACAGCTGATTCCTTTCAGCTCCTCTTTGCTGGAAGGGTTTTGTTGCTCTACCTTTAAAATACTTAAAACATCTTCTACTGGATTCAAGTCAGCTGACATACTAGATCAAGTCATGGTTTTCACTTTTTTGTCTTTAAAAACTTTTGTGATTTTTATGTTTGGGATCATTGTCGTGTTGGAAACGTCATGTACTGTCCTTCACACCGTCTGATCGGTCACTGAAACAGCAGTTTCCATAGATAATCCTTGAGCTAACTCAGACACACTTACCTGTCTGATTTTCAATGTGTTGTGTAAGCGCATCGTGCCTGGCATTATTTTTTAAAGGACAGCCACTGCACCTTCTACTATTAGCAGCATGGCTCTTCCTATACCACCCAACCACTACTGCATGTTCAGTAGCCAACTGATGTTTCTGTACCCTTCCCCCATTTTCATGAGGTCTCACAATCTGGTTTCTTACTTGTCCATGCAGAGCCATGCTGCATTAGAAACAGCCCAGGCCAAAATACAGGAAGTTGTGGTACACCGCTTTCAGAAAGCAGAACTGGGTATGGCAGGGGTAAAACTCCTGTCTGAAGTGCAGTTCATGCTCTTCGCTTCAGTTTGTTTCACCCCTCTGCCCGTCTATCTGCTAACATCTTCATGCTAACAATGACGAGGTTAGCACACCAATGTTAACCAGTAATGTTTAGCAAGTTCATTATGTTTTCAGTGTGTTAGCATGCTAACATTTGCTAATTGGCACTAAAACACAAAGCACAGCTGAGCGTGATGGGAAAAGTAAATGGATCCCCAAAGTTATTACAAATTCATCCTCTGGGAACCATGAATCTTTGGCCACCAATCCATCTGGTAGATGTTGAGAGAGATTTTCTGCTGAATGTTGGGTCTAGATGAAAAGTCAGAGGATCACCAAAGTTTCAATGCTTCATCCTCTGGAGACCATGAGTGTCAATAAAAATAAATGGTAGACCATAAATACATGTCCATCAAAAGAAAGCACCAGTCACTCAAGTTTTTCTCTTTAATTTTTATTTGTGCAAAGCAGAAAAGTAAATTTATAGCCAAGATCATTTCTATGCAGTTAACCTGAAACATTTTGTAATTACAGAGTATGTTTTCATGAGTACATACTGAATGCATTCAGTAAAGCTGCATAGATAGCAAAGGTTATCACTGTCAGTCACAGGATATTGTAGTTAAGGCTGCTATCACAGAACAGAATCTGTTTGTTTTTTTTCAAACAAAAAATAAGTGTATTACATTAATGTACATTCTCAAGAATTAAAAAGGTACAAGTTTGTGTTTCGTTATATTTGGATAATTTTTAGCATGACCCTCTATATATTTTTGTTAGTAAATATAACATACATTACAAGTTTAAGCGTGATTGAGCGTGTTTGTTCTCTACTGGGGACAAATTGATTTTCGAAGAACCAATTAGATCAAAATTTTAGTTATTTTTGTCACGATACTGAAAGTTAAGTAACAAGTATGGAATGTACTATAACTACAGATCATGGTGTCCATTTTTTCTATGACAAATATTTTTAAAAAATGTGGAAAAAAACAACAATATTGCGATGGAAATAGCAAAAAGTGAAAGCTCAGGGCAAATACGGACATTTGATACGCTACAAAATAAAAGACAACTTCTGAATAAGAAAAATACAGAAGATACACTGAATGATATTTAGGGAAAAAAACAAAAGTACTAACATAAAGATTATTGCCTCATGACGGATGTACCAGTAACACTTTTTAATTTGAACAGTTATAGCATATAGTAGAGGTATTACAAAATAAAGATAAAACTATACATTTAACCACATTTCAAAAGAAATATAACGATGAAATATACAGTAAAATACATTTGCATGTAAAATAAAACTAACATTTCAACAAATTAAAAGTCACAGTTCAACAAACCCCAAATGTTTCAACATGGAAATACTCAAGTACTTTTTTTTTTTTTTTTTTTTTAACTTTTTAAACTTTTTGTGGTCATCAGATCAAAAGTGCCACAGTAGACATTCAAACGCCTCTGGGTGGTTCCAGTATCAGACGACTGATGTAGGGATCAGTTACCCTTAGCTCTGTGTACTCTGAAACACTGTGTCTCACAAGAATTGAGATAATGCCTATTGTACACTTCACAAGAGTCACATATTCATTTGGGGGGGGGGTTACTCCCGGGTAAACAGGGAACATACCCTGATGTATAAATCTGCTACAACTGAACAGGAATGCTCATGGATATGAATGCCAGCATTTGTGGTGGTTGCACAGCTTTTCATTTGTGGCAGCACAGTCACACATAGTACAGTGTCATAGTCACATGTATCCTTCCACAACAATAGCAAACAAAGGTAAAATAAAGTGTTTCAAACCAGTTTTGTGTAATACTACATTGAGGAGGTGTTTCGCAATATCCTTGCTTATGGACACAATGACTTTTCTAGATTATTTTGTTTAACCCCTACCCCGAACAGCGATTGTCCAATCATGGCTTAGCAACTGCAACTAGGCATATGAGGCCTGTCAAGCTTTGGATTTCTTCACATTGTGCATGGGGTTGTATGAACAGAAACACTGTTAGTCTTTTCAAAACTAGAAACCTAAGAGTGCAAGTGTTACGAATGCACTGAAAAGTGTGTGGCAAATTTTTCATCCCAATCACACGCTTGCTTTTAGCCTCAGTCTTTTAGCATAGTCCCATGTATGTAGCCATCAAGTGCATATTTAAAACCCCTTTTTTTTACAGGGTTCTCACATTAAGTAGAGTTAGCTGGAAAAATTAACAAGCCAGGTGGAGACAGCTTTTTCAACCAACACACGGTGCTAACATTAGCTTAATTAGCTAGCTAGCCACCGATAATAAAAACTGCCAGTGACCGTTGTCAATGGGTAGAAATAAGAGGCCTGTTTTTGTCCATCTTTGTCTGAAAACAAAGGAACCATTGTTTCAAAAAAATGTACTTAGAATTACCAGTGGTGAGTTTGGCCTGTTTTCATTGCAGGGGCTGTTTGAGAGCGGAAAGCTGCTAGCTAAGCTGTGTCCTTCCTTCTTCTTCATCGGGTAATACATGTGTAGACGATTGATTTCTATCATGGAAAGAAAGCGCTGCTGTCATTGTCAGCATTCTCTTCAAGTCTGACAGGCACTGCTGCTGTAGTGGCAAGTTGAGAAGCTAGCTCAAGAGGAATGCTAACACGAATAAAGTCTGTGTTTCACCAAATATGAGAAGTGCCAAGCAAAGAAAACAAACTCACTTAAAGGCAAAGGCTGTGGTAACAGCAGATGATGAATCTTTGAGTGTTTGGTGCACCCTTGATGGGGTGAGGTAGAATCGAGCTGCTCCCAGGATGTTTGGATGAGAGGCAGCAGGACGAAAATAGTCACAGTTTTCACTCTTCCATCTCTAAAGATTTAAACAATTTGGTTTTGACAAGATGATTACCACCACTTACTGAGCACTCAGTAGTACAGAGTGGTCTCGGTGTCATTTTACTGAATGCCCCCTTTGACAGTTACTATACAGCTGTGCAGCTACAACTTACTTAAATAAGTAATCTATGCAAAATTCAACTGTTTAGTATGATATCACCACTTTTGTCGTTATTCTGGATTATAGGTGCGATGATGAGTGAAGCTTGAAGTAGGCAACCGGTGACGTCACCAGAGAATCCATTCCCTCCATAAGGAACCATTGCCATTGAAGTTTTCATCAATGTAGTGATAATATACAAAGTAAAAACGCAAAAAAACATAGTCAGTTAGCTCCCAAGTCTCCTGGAGACCTTGGCAACATTTTCCTTGGCTCATAAAGCATGACTGGAATGTCTTTTTGACTAAATCCGACAATCCGAATGGTAATACTCAATAAGATGTAAGATACAGAGATGTGGATCTACTTGTCACAGTGATCCATATATCAATACCAGACAACCACCAAACTTCTGTTCGTAAAAACAGGTTGAGAAAAGTCACAGTACCACATTAGAAGTAAGGGGGGGGGGGGGGGGGGCAGACCTAATTGTAATGTACATACGTGAAGTTTGATGTCTTTGATTTTGATTTTGTTAAGAGTTTAACCAGCTGCGCAGAAAACTCTTAACATACTTTGAGATACAACATAAACTGAATTTGCCCTGGCCTGAAGATCATGTAAAATACAACCATTTAAAAATGTAAAGTCAAACAAACTTGTGGTGTAGACATGAGTCTGTCCTGTTAAACAAGTAATGATTCCACCAGCCAACAAGTTAGCCTATCAGTAACAGGTAAGGCCAGGTTACTGGCACATTGAGTGTAACCAAAATCCACCTTAGTGATGAGGTTCAAACAAGTCAGAGGCAGAGAGCAGTTCTGACCTGTGATGAAGATTAGTACAAGTCAATGGTTTCTTTTCTCTTTTTTTTTTTTGGCTCTGAGGGAGTTACACAGTGTAAACTTCGAGCTGCTATGGATTGTGGAGCGTACTTTAAGCATCCTAGCCACGTGATCAAGTTTTGGCTTTGGTAAAGCGCAACACCAACACTAGCCAGCAAATCCTCTCGAGGCAGGGGGGTGTGAGTAAAGCGTGGATGGTGGAATCTTTATCAGTCCGTATGTCCTCCTCCCGCCGTTCGGCTGAACGTGTTGTCAATCCATCCAAATCATCTCACTCGCATTACACAGCCCAGATCTTCTTCTGCTGGAAGTAGGCATCAAATCTGGCCTGGGCGTACTCCTACAACACAGTCAAGTATACACAAACACATTATTGATTTGTAGACTTAATTGTAAATGGATAAAAATTGCCACTTTTGCCCATCAGTCTACACTCTATGACCGATAGCGACAAAATGAGAACCAAGACTGAAATCTCTCATTTACAAAAGTATTCAGGCCCTTAACTCAGTACTTTGTAGACGCCTCTTTGGCAGCAGTTACAGCTTCAAGTCTTCTTGGCAAAGTCTCTACAAGCTGGATTTGGGTAGTTCATCCAATTATTCCTGGCAGATCCTCTCAAGCTCCATCAGACTGGACGGGAAGTGTCTGTGAACTGCCACCTTCAGGTCTCTCCACTGATGTTCAATGGGGTTTAAGTCTGGGCTTTGGCTGGCAACTCAAGGACAGTCAGACACTTGTACCGAAGCCACTAAGGATTGTCTTGGCTGTGTGCTTTGGGTCATTGTCGTGCTAAAAGGTGAACCATTGCCCCAATCTCAGGAACTCTGGTGCAGGTTTTCTTCAAGGACCTCTCTGAGAAGCCCCCCCCCCCATAATGCTGTCGCGTCACCACGGAGGTCTACAGGGAATTCCTTGGACTTCATGGTTTGGTTTTTGTCCTGACATGCTGTGTAAATTGTGGGACCTTGTTTACACAGGTATGTGTGCCTTTCTTAACTATGTCCAATCATTTCAGTTTACCGAAGCTGGACTCCAGGGGTGCAACGGTAAAAAAACGAAATGGAAAAAAAATGAAAGAAAAAATGAATAAGGCTAGGTTAGGTTTCTTTTCATTTATTCTGTCTGAGTGCTTTTGTAAATAAGAGATTTCAGCTGGTTTAAAACAGATTTTCACTTTGTTATTATGGGTTATTGAGTGCAGATTGGTGGGCAAAATAGCTTTTTTTATCTATTAAAAAAACTCCTCTAACATGTTCTAAACAGAAACACAAAACATAAAAATAATAAAATTTTTACTCACCAGGTATCCGAACTTGATGGTGGAGAGCCGGGCCTGGATGATGGACCACAAGCCCCAAAAGAAGTGGGATGCCAGGGAGAACCTACATTCAAAAACACACTGTGTGAACACTGTGTTTTCTAATTGTTTCACTTTTTATATTATGCATTATATTGTATTGAAAATGCCTTATGGGTTTACACCCTGCTCTGTATCTGAGCTCACCTGTTGACTTCAATATACATCTCCTCCTTCAGTTTCATTTGGTCCTCTTCGCTCAGGTTGTCGAACCCTCTGTCAGACTCGCGCAGGTAGCTTTCAATGAAGTGGAGCTGCACAGAGACGTGACATGAAGTTCACACCGGTCAGCAGTCCATAAGCAAAACCAAATCAGTGTTAAAGTATGAACATATACACACCTGCTGGGCCTTTGAAGGGTAGTTCTGAGCGCTGACTCTGAAGAAAGGAAACTCATCACAGTTGTAGTCGTACATCCACTCACAGAAATGGTTGCCAATATCAAATCCCCTGCAAGGTTAACAGATGATAAGAGAATAAGAGATGATGACTGATGATGCCTTTACATTTCTTTTTTTTCTTACACTATGTGGCTTTGGTTGAAAAATAATGAATGAAATGTTGTGAAATGATATGTATATGCAGGAAAGCAGATTTGCTGAAGCTATTTGTAAATTGATACAAATTAATCATGGCCAATTTTGATAATTAATTATCAGTAAACTCATTTATCATGTAAAATATTAGACATTGATTACATTGTATAGCACACCGGTGTAAGTTGTATACCTATATTAGTCAGTAATTGTGACATTCATAGACTAAAGAACTAATCAGTTAATACAAATCATTAATAACTGATTAATTGCTTATAAAATAAATGTCAGTTGGAGTCCTAGAGAAAATTACTGTAAATTATCAAGTTGGAATATTGCTATGTGAAAGCAAACAAGTGGAGAAAACGTTCAGTTTCTATTAGCAGCAAAAGACAGGAATAGAAAATCACAAGTGAAAATAACACAGAGAACAGGGACGCTTGTTACAACGGCACCAACACTGTGTCTACATAGAAGGTAGCATTAGCAGCACGTTAGCAGACCAGCAGCAGCAACTCTGGTGTTCCATCTGTGTCTGCACCGGATGCATGCAAGCACAGTGTTGAGTTTGAGGTTTAGGGAAAGCTCTCAGAGCCAAATACATTTATACGGGGGTGTAGCTGGAGTAAAACCTGAGCAGTCGTGTGGCCTGTACAGACAAATGGACCGAGCGAATCTGTTCCGTCAGATGCAAGTGAAACGGACAACTGAAAAACTGTTTTCTGGGCTGTAAGAGTGCACAGCCTTGTCAGCAGCTCTGTGTAGCTATGTAGTGGTACCATGGCTCATCTTAGTTTAGTCAGGATGCTAAAGTTGCTAATTAGCACTTAAGACAAAGTAAAGCTAAGGGCTTTTGCAAATAATTGGTCATAAACCAAAGTACTGGACGGAGTCAGATCTGTCGGTGGCGCTGGATGAAACGTCGCCAGATCATCAGTCGGCTTCATTCTCTGATTTGTTCCTAGGTGTAGGGATATTTCAAAGTGGTTTCTATCCTGCTGCTGCGGCTAAAACTGTGATGAAAATATCTTCATTACAATGTGTAGTATACAGGACTGTCCATAAAACAAGCCTGGTTTTCTATTCAGGTAAATAAAGGCCTCTATTTAAGAACTTACAGTGTGTGCCCTCATCCTGTGATTTAGACCACAACACATGGACAGTGGCTTATGTGATCATGCCCTAATTTTGTACTTGCACGTTGATTCCCGTACTGCTATCAGCAGCTGTGAAAACCTTTTCCAACACAAACCCCCCCTGCGCTCTGGGGGAGTCTACGAGCTTGACTCATCCCCTTCTGTTTCCACTTCTAACGAATGGGGGAAAAAAGATCCATACCATGTGTGTCCATTTGTGGGCGTGCCCTTCCTGTAAATGCATGTATGTTGGCACATGTTCTCACATGTTTGGTATGTGTGCGCGGTCATTTGCGTACAGAGGGTCACATGTTCACTCTGCAGCATATGAGGAGACTTAAAGGGGCCACGCTGAAGGGAGTTGCAGGGGGGTGGTGGTGGTGGTGGGGGTCGGAGGTGGGAGTGTTTCTGTTTGTATGAGTGTGTGCAGGAGATAGCGAGAGAGAAAGAGGGAGACTTTCGTCTGAGATCCACTGTGATTTGAGGCCAGTGTGATTCATTCCCATGAATTTTCACATACAGACACATTTGAGGTCACTCAAAGGTGCAGAAAACAAGCGCTCCTTCAGATGCACAACCACAGAATTCTATTCTCAGTCTATTCCCAGTGCTTTGTGCATGACTGTACTACAAAATCCACTGCAACATCTCCAGGAGTAACAATGACAGATCTGGTTGAGTTGAAGCCTTTCCATTGCCTCCATCCTGTGTGTCCTCAATGGCCTGCCAAGTTCTGGTTACATAACATCTGCAGTGAATATTTCAGCAGAGGGAGGTGGCCATGATTTATGGCTATCATGGGGAAATACTGATGTATTCTTTTTTTCTCTCTCTCTCTCTCATTTTTCCTGTGATTTCGGTTCATTTCTGGCTCGATATCTAGGTTACTCTGTCTCTCTTTGTCTCTCACTCTCTCTTCACCTTCTGCCTCATTCTCAGCCTCCCTGAAAGGCGAGTGGGCAGTGATCATTACTGTCATTAATAGTGTTAGCTGGAAAAATATATTAAATGATTATATAAAAAAAATATAAAAATAATAGTAAAAAACTAAAAATAATAAAATAGAAATGTTTGAAAAGTGGCATTTTTAAATAATTTGTCTAAAATTAAATCAAAATGAACTTCCACAAAACTCTGTAGTTATTGTAATAGAAATGTTGATATAACATTAACCAACATACAAGTAGTTGGTTTTTATACATACAATCTATCCATATGATTATTCATTTAATACTGTCTTTACTTACTTAATATTTAACACATTCGGTTTCTATAGAAAAAGGTCTAGGTAAGGTGGAGCAGTGTTACAGCTGGACTTTATATTTCAGGCTGCAGATAGAGGCTGAGAATCAAGAGATTTCTGGTTATATAAAATGTGTTCCGCAAACTAGAAGGGAAAGACCAACAGCACTGAAATATCTGCTCTATTTACTGAGACTATGCATGAAAATGGAGTCTCACAGTTTGACTTATCTGACGACAGCATGCTGTGTAATAAACAGTGCAAAAAATAACTTTGGCAACCAAAGCCCAGCCCGAGTGCCTGCAAACTTCCTTCTTCCTTTAATTTAATTTCTTTGTGGAGGTCAACTGAGGAAAAAAAATTGTCCATTTCCTTTTCTGGTGGCCACTAGGAAACTATGAGTTTACCAGGTTACTTCTTCTTTCAGTAATTTTTAATGAGTTTTTCACCCAGTACTCATGACAGAGATGGCAATGACACTAAACACACCACTGTCAGAGCGTATAAATTTTCCCGCATTGGATTTAATCTAAAAGAAATCTTACAGCTATAAATCCAGTGTTGATATGCCAATACAGTAATATAATATAATAATATAATAAAACAGCTTCAAAATTTGGTTTACAAATCTAATAAAGACAGTCAAATATGTTCCACTGATAGTTATTTAAAAGCGTAGTCTTTAAGAATAAAACAGGCAATATTCTATATTTATGCCAATTTTAAGAAATCCCATAAAAGTACCAGAACCAACAATGTCTCTAAATATTTGACTGGCCATTCGTTCCTACTGAAGATGTACAGGTCATAAACATGTGATTTAATTTTTTAAATTGCTAAGTATTTACTTCAAACAGCTGAGCACTGTGGTTTTTAGGAGACACGATAACTATTTTTTACTGCAAACCAAATGTACCTACAAGTACAAATAAAGTAACCTGACCTGACCTGACCTGAGTAAACAGTACATATGTTGGGGACAAATACAGTGTTCAGCAGTACGACGCATTTACAGTGGTTGTCGACCTACCTGTAATTGTAGCTGCTGTACTCGAAGTCAATGAGCATCAGCTTCTGTTTGTCTGAGGTCTGGCGATCATTCAGCAGCAGGACGTTCCCTGAACACACACGTAAAAGTTTTTATTTTTTATTATTTTTTGTATAATGGCAAATAAATCTACAGCACAGAGTAGCGACTGATGTCTGTTTTACCTTCTTGACAGTCATTGTGGCAGAACACCACAGGAGAGTGAGTGGAATCCAGTAGAGACCTAAACATACACGGAAATCAAAAGGTGATAAATCAGCAGGGTTTAAGGAGCTCCTGTTGTGCATCTTCATACTGCATCCTGACCACTATGATCAATACACGTAAACATGAACCCATAACATTCTGGACAGTACCAAGGAAGTTTCGTCTCTGCTTCACTTTATTGTAAAACTGTTTAAGACCTTCGCAAATATTCTCCCAGCAGCTGACCCCAGGTAGACACTCAGTGCAACTAAGGGCACAATTTAAAAAAAATATGTCTGGAATGCAGTGAAAGCTCTTCAGGGACAACAGATGGTGGTTACTCAGGATTAATGACGTAAAACCACAAGAGCAGCTTGAACAAGTGGCTTGATCCCTTTACATTCACAGTGCTAAGGACAGGAAGAAAAGCCCCCATTACATGCTGCATGAAATCACAAAAAACCTACATAGCATAAAGTGTCGGAACAGGGTTCATGCAAATGCTTATATTTCTGCTTTTCAAAATAAAATTCAGATTCTGGTCACTGATCACTGGCTTTGATATTTCACTATGACACATCAGTTTTTCATTGCTCCAGTAACAAACTCTCTCATATCAGTCAGTGTTTAAAACATGAGCAGGTTGACGCTTTGTGATATTAAAGTCTGTGTGTGTGTGTGTGTGTGTGTGTGTGTGTGTGTGTGTGTGTGTGTGTGTGTGTGTGAGATCTCTTACATGTTCTTACTCGCTGGATAGTCTCAGGTTTTCTGAGGTAAACAGGGACCTACACATTCCATACATACTGTTGCATAACACACATGCCATGTTTGTGTGTGTGTGTGTGTGTGTGTGTGTGTGTGTGTGTGTGTGTGTGTGTGTGTGTGTGTGTGTGTGTGTGTGTATGTGTGTGTAGGAACATACTTGAGCAGATCCATTTCCTGTGGCAGGTTGTAGCTGAGCAGGCGGTTGAAGCGACGCAGGTGGGACTCTCTGGTGAAATTCAGCCTCATGACTTGGCTCAGGTACCTGGTGAGAACATTAACACACACACACACATATATAGTTACTCCATCATTCTCTCAATGACATTTTTATCTCTTATCTGATGAAGAAAGGTGATTTACTGTCGGGATCATGTGAGTGTTCCCTAAATGTCATGTCAACCTGACTCACTGATAAGAATGATGCCACATCTTGACAATCAATAGTTGTAAATGACTGATTGTCACCCCAGAGTATTGCTGATACAGCCTTATGGTGACTAATGTTGGCTAATGTCAACTAATGACAGTAGCATTGTTAGCTAAATAATGTTAGCTAATGTCAACTAAGGACAGTAGCATTGTTAGCTAAATAATGTTAGCTAATGTCAACTAAGGACAGTAGCATTGTTAGCTAAATAATGTTAGCTAATGTCAACTAACGACAGCAGCATTGTTAGCTAAATAATATTAGCTAATTTTAGCTAATGAAAGTAGCATTGTTTGTAAGCTAATGTTAGCTAGAGAGAGGGTATTAATCGCTTTTAAGCAGCCAAAGTTTGTCGCTAGGTGTATTTCTTTTCTTTCCTTTCTTTCTTTCTCTTTTCAAATGGAGGTACAATATAACCTGGTTCAAATTTTTTGTTACCATGTAAAAATGGCATTATGTAACTTTTTGAAATGTGTGTTTTTTTGTTTTTGTTTTTGTAAATATTGTTCAGCCCTACTTATCAGCACTGATAAGTCTAACTGATGACTTCATAAATTTTATCAGGGGAACAGATATTACAGGAAATTTAATTTTCTGCCATAAAACTGATAATCTTGATTAAGCCACTTTGTAAAAATTAAATCACCTGACAGCCTGGGTCCCCATGCTGTTGGCCTACTAAACTTCAAGGCTAAAACAGTATATGGAGATAAAGGACAGCAGCATCTGTGCTCGAATCATCTGAGGAATTCAGCACACCCACATACCAATCCCTGGGCAGATTTTGCTGTGGCAGATTGGGCTGGTGAGCTTTTGTAAATTCTGTTGAAAGTAAAATCCTACACTACTATATGCTACATATAATGTTTCTTATTTCTGAATCCGCAATCTTTTCTGATATGGATATTTACAAGATCAGTCACATGGCAGTACCAATGACTAATGTTTTTATTACATAATCTGGGAAGTTATAAAGCGGTATTTAAGTACCTTCACAGAAGATCAGTGGAACCGGACGATGGACTTTATCACCACACACTGACAAAACTTGCACAATGTAAACTATGTCAACAACTAAATAAACTTGAAAGCCACCTCAGACGGAAGTGCATGATTATGATTAGCCAACTGCCACCTCATCGATAACTAATCAGTGCTGTGACTTGTTTTCTTGGGATTCAAAGTTATTGACTGAGGAGCTTTTTTAAATCTGCTCAATTGACTTCCAAGTATTTTTGAAAACAAGACGAGACAAAAGACAGGGCAGGACAAGACAAGACTTAATTAACTCACTTGTCCATGGTCCCAAACAGCCACTTTGGCTCCTTGTTGAAGGGCATCCTCATTCCGTGAAACCTGGCCATCTTCTCTGCAACCTCGGCCGAGATGCTGGGGTCGCTTAACTCACAGGTGTCCAGTTTACGGCTCTGTCAACAGGATATCGTTACTGATTATTTTGTTCCAAACCACGATTTCCAGTATTTAACTGCATTCGGATAATTGTAAGATGGGCTTTCACTTTCTTGCAGTACACCCACGTTTAAATCTGTTTGAATGACCTGTGCCTGGTCTTTCATTCACAGTTTGATGTTAGCTACATGAAGCTAGGTGAGGTCAATATTATGTTCTTCCATGTGTAAAATGAATTGTGTAACACAGTGCTGTTTAAACACTGAAGATCAGATGTTTCATGGTTTGTGATTTCTCTGCGAACACCGATTTGTGACGGATCATTGAACAGTACACCACACACAAACACATTAACAAGCCATGTTGTATCATTTATTCCCAAGATGACCCTAAAGATAAGTAAGCGAGCACTTTTATTATATTGAGAATGAGCTGACACATCATCACTAGAGCTGCAAAGACTTGTCGATTAATTGATTAGTCAATCAACACAAAATTAATCTGCAACTATCTTAATAACCGAAGAATCATTTTAGTAATTTTTTAAAGCAAAAATGTGAAATATTTGCTGTTTCTAGCTTCTCAGATATGAAGATTTGATGCTTTTCTTTTTCACACATGAAAGTAAACTGAACATCTTTGGATTTTGGACTGTTGGTCAGACAGAACAACATGTATAATAAATTATAACAGACATTTTTCACTATCATCTGGCATTTTATAAAGATAACGACTAATCAATAATGACAATAATCTTGAATTGCAGCCCTAGTCATCACTTTTCTCTCACCTCATAAAGTGGTAAAATAACTATGACTGGGATATTATTTAATTTTTTTACTGCTAGTGCTGAACAAAACAATACTTTTTCCACTACCTAACTTTTTTAACTTGTATATTTACATGTATATTTCAGGTTACGGACACATTTTGCACAGTGAGTTTTGAGGTTCAAAATGCAGCCATGAACTTAACAAGGACAACAGACACGGCAATACCAGAAAACAGGAAACCTCTCTGTTGGGTCTCAACAAACATTTTGCCACAGAAGTTTCACAATGATTGAATTTCTCTCAGTAATGGAGTGCATAGGGTGTTCCTATTATTTTTCTCCACCCCTCACTCTTCGACTTACGGGGACGTACTGCTCCAGACGGCCCTGAGGGAAAATGCCATAGAGTTTCGGGCCCAACTCCCTCTCCGCCAAGATCGCAAACATCACACTCTCCAGCACCATGGCCTCTGCGCCCTGAAAACACACAACAGAAAGAAATTCTCAACAGCTCAGCATTTAAAGTATGGGAACAGTCTACATCACCACCATCACCACCTCCACCATCACACCACCCATCAGTGCTGTAAAATGCAATAAGAACAAAATGACAAAATGAGACAAAGAGCTTTTTTCTGGTCACAGTGTCTGGAAACATGAAAGTTAAGAGTGAGGTGTGGATTGAAACAATCATCCTGTCAGCCCCTTTCAGACACTATATCTGTGACGGCGCTTGGTTCTAGTTCAAGTAATGACTTTTCGGCTTTCGGGCATAGGTCGCTAGTCGACATCAAAGGATGGTAAAAGAGCGATTCTCATGAGATACGGCAGACCTGAGAGCAGTGAACAGGAAACAGAAAATGTCACCAAGGAAGGACCAGTGTTCACACAGGCTGTTTCTCAATGTCATTTCATAGTTGCCCCTGCCTCAGTAACCCCACTAGTGGTTGTCTGTAACCTCCCTCATATATTTTCTACCCACTTTACCACACAACAAGTTGCTGCAACAAGGCTTAAAATACAAAAAGTTATAGTTCTTACACTACATATGATGCGTATATTCACATGTGTGCATGCTTTATAATGTTATTGCTCTGTCTTCATATACTGCGCAGAACATTAGCAGGGTGAAGTGTTTGACTGAAAGGGGCTTAAAAGTGGGAAATCAGTGGGGGGAGGTTGGAGGTGAAGGATGGAGGAGTTTGAATGAGCAGACCTGCTGTGGTCGGGGTTAGTCGGGTTTACCTGTCAGAGTGGTGAGGAGAACACAAGAGGTAGATTAAAACTTCGTTTGAGAGTGGGCCCACTCAGAGGATCAGTCACTGTTGAAACTGTCGAAGCAGAGAGGACAGCCTTGTCTGTCTCCCTTTATCTTAGAGACAAACAAAATTCACACACCAACGCACGTCGCCTGGAGCCCAACAGGAGCTCAAGGTTAACTGGGAAACCTTCTCTCCAACTCTGACACAAAAATGTGTCCTGGAGGCTAAAACTGTGCACAGACTTCTCTTCAACTTGATTCTGATTTACTTTATTGTGTGTGTGTGTTGTGTGTGTGTGTGTGTGTGTGTGTGTGTGTGTGTGTGTTTTGCGTGTGCCGCAGACGACAGAAAACAAGACCAACCAGGTGAACAGCTCCAAGGCAGATTTATTCTGTGGGAAACTCAGATTTGTATCTCTTGGATTCAGACTTACAGTGAAGACACAAGTGGATTCACTGGTTTAGACGATTCACAGTTTTTTAGCCAAGTTACATTAAACCAACGAGAGCAGGAAGCTAAGAATGAACAAAATCTAGAGTTCTTGAAATAAAATACTGCAACCAAGCAAAACTAAAGTACCACTTGTTAATTAAATTCAGGCTAAGAATACTAACCTGTAGCTAGTTAGCTAGCAAGTGGCTAGCTAGCAAGAGTTATTTGCTATTTATATTTGTATTCATGTTTTGACTACAGTTCCTTGTATGGCATTAAACTCCGCCTACATTAAACATAAATTTTAAAAAACTTATTTTTTATTACTTAATGTGGTAGTTGTGAAACTACCACATCATTCAGGTCCAGGGACAACGTGTCCGATGACATAACTTTCACATGTCATGGTAATGTGACACAACCTGAGTCCTGTGTGGACCTTGGGTTAGAGTGCCTCTTTACTATGACTAATCTGAAGTAATTCAGATGTCGTCACACAATGCTAGTCCATCTACAATAGTCTGATTAATACGTGATCACCACCAATCACATTTGTTCAGGTTGTTGTAAATTACAATGTCACATTTCAGCACAATTTCTGCTGAAAATGAATTAATGCTATTTAAACACATTTATTTACGAATTATTCCCTGTATTTCTCACTGAAACCTTGTCAGTACAGACGGCAAGAGTTAGCATTAGCACAACCGCTAACACTGTGTCAGCCACTGCGAATAGTTGATTTCAGGATGTCATTTCCACATTTGCTGCAGTTTAATGTAACCCCCTGAATGGTTGCAGTAAAAGTCAGTTTAAAACATTGCAATTTTAACCCTGCTAAGTGAATAACCTTCAGATAAATTGCTGCAGAGACGGAGATTTGGATCCGAGCTCTGGAGTCCTTGGCCACGAGCCAGGGAATGTGTTTCACACTGACCGTCCAGCAGGAAACCAGCTCAAAGAAAACAATATTGCCACTTTATGACCTCCTAGATGTTGCACATGACTTTGAAACATGTTGCAAGTACATTTTTGAAAAATAAAAACAGTACTGAACCACCTGCAGAGAAGCTCTCTGAAGGAGGAGACGCTGATATCTCTGTCAAGAACTTTGAGGCAGTGTCTAATGAATCAAATTTTCTGCGGGGGTAAATAATAGTAAAGCCCTTTCTATTATAGACTGCTGTTAACCAGCTGACCTGTATCCCAGCTAGCAAGTTGTCAAATAGGTCTGCGACTAATCATTATTTTCATTATTCATTAATCTGCAAATTATTTACTTGAAAAATAAATTAATTGTTAATCAAGAAAATAATATTTGCTTAAAAAATGGCTAAAAAATGACTCAATTCTAAAAACAATTGAGTAATCAGCAAATCAAAATCTACTTTATCTAGGAACTGAGTTCTGTCGTCTGCAAACAATATGAACCTATGAACCATATTTCATTACATATAGCTAATTAAAGAAAGGAATATTCCCTCTAATTCATAAATTAGCACCCAGATAGTTTATTCAGTAGATCCCAACTGGATCAATCCACATTTAATCTTTTTTCAAAGCAAATAACCACACTCAAGCCCTTTTTTTCCCCCCTATCTACATAACGTCTCCATCAGCATTATGTTACCAATACAATGATACAGTGCACAATTTAGATATGCTTCAACATCTTGAACAAATAAAACATCTGTCTCCCGAACAGTGTGTTGCACATTCTGTTTCATTCCCAGGGTGTTTGCTCAGTGGATACTGCCAATGCTTATGTAACGCCTCATCTGCAGAATGCTGATCACATCCAGATTGAATCCTCCAACATGACTTATCCATATTACCATAATCGTCTTGACACACATACAGCTAGCCGACGGGCCAGCTGGCCGCCTAAAGCACAGCAGAGACTCAAACTCCCACGGGGTGTCGGATTAGAGGATGTGTCAACTCCTCTGAAGTATTTCACTGAGTCAGTGAGTGCATCATCATCTGACCTAAATCTGCAGCAGCCAGCCTGCATATGGACGACTGTATATTCAGAGCTTCGCTGGCTTGCCTTAACCTGCATTTGCTGCCAAGTTGACAGTCAGATCAAAGTATCAAGTTAGGGATTATCAAGTCTGTGCATGATCCCCATTAAAGTGATAACCTTTACAAACATGCTTCAGTCTTGGCATCTGTAGACAGGGTTGTCAATTCATTTTTCTTTAGATCTGTGCCAGAGATAACAACGTTGACTAATGACTCTTGTGTAATGCACTGATTTAAATTTAGCCTTAGTGATAAAGAGAAATAGGGCATACCAATAGTTGCACAGTGGCTCGAACTGGCAGCGTCAGTTACTGTACACTGAAATAATGTTGAAGGTCAAAAATTCAAATTTTCAAATGAAATAATAATGACTGAATATTAAAACTTAAAAACCTCAGCTCTCACTTAATCTGCTCTATCGGGACTGCGTGGGTTTGGTTAGATCGCATTTCAAATAACTGACGGTTATCACATTCTGACGGTCCTCCATTGACTTGCTATTTAGAGGCTGTTACAGTGTCCCACAGTGACTGTCTGACAGCCCTGCAGCCATCCATCAACCCCCGTTTCATTTCCTCTGACCTATTTTAAATGCTACTGTTTGTTTTAGCAGCCTGTTTGATTTGGCTCACTCTCCCACACAAGACCTCCACTCATTCAAATGTTAATTTTCAACCAGTCACTGTTCAGACAATGGATGTATTAAGAGAGGTGGATACGGCACCACCACTCAGCCCTGTTGCTAATGTGTCCCAGTGGACACTTGTGGTATTGCAAAGAAAAAATCCCCCATGGCCCAAAAGTGGCATTAATTAATTAATTAATCAATTCATGTATCTATCTTCTAACATTACCCAGGTATAGATCATGTGCTTGCTTAATGTTGTTGTTATGTCCGCTCGGCTTTTATTTCTACACTTTTTTTTTTTTTTACACTACCTCTTCCTGTTTGAGACATTTTTAAATTTGGTTTTCTCGCTTTTTGTTTGGAAACAAAAAAACAACTAGACCACATGATTTCGTTTTTGGTTTAGAATTAAATATAAAATAAAACCATATGAATTCGGTTTTTGGTTTCAAACTAGATTTTGATAAAAGTTTTTGCCAAAAACCAAACTGGACCATTTTGCCATTTTGATTGTTCTTTGAACGTTTTTTTCTGTTTTGGTTTGAAAACAAATAACAGATTTAGGTTTTTTGTTCCTTTTTAAATTACAAATGAATTACGGATTATCTGATGATACCCAGACCGTAGGCACCGTTTGTGAGTGACCTATCCAGTTCCTATAATACATCCATGGTTCAGACAGGAATTTCGACATTCCTAACAATGTAAATCTGAATGTCCTTCTTGAATGAGTAGGTGGTCCCACTATTTCTGTCATTTCAACCCCCATACCACATTCAGTCTGACAGCTGATGTAGCCGCTGGGATCAGGTTCTTTTTGGATATTTGATTACGTGTTAATCTCAATGTTCACACTGGTCCCGTATCAGCGCTGCCGCTCTGTTGTGAGATATTTAGCAGCTGGCCGTGGACTGATGCAGCAGGTGCACTATGAGCTGTCGACAGCTGATGCTTTAACCTCGTTACTTATCTCTTCTGTTATGTGTGTCAGTAATCCAGTCAAGGGGACAGATTATTTAGTACAAACCGGTCACATCCACCTGAACTGAGCAGAACTACTGTCACACATTTGTTCCAGTCATCTGTGAACAGCAGTGAACTCATGTCAAAGGACAGTGATGAGGACTTGAAGCCGCTAGTCCCTTCCCATGGCTCAGTCACCCTAAAACAGAGGCCTCAACCCTGCTATGGAAACTCAAAGACTGCTTCTCCACCACTGAGACAACCACCCCTCATCATACAGATAAAGAAAAAAATTACATGGTATTTTGTGTGTGTTACATAACATGGACTGTTATGTAACACCCACCGACCACCCACTGTAGTTTTTACTCTCTGTACATAGGTAGATAATGTGTTTTGAAAACACTGATAAGATATTATTACATGCATGTAAACTCAACAAAACTGGTAACGGTGAAGCTGGTATCGAATCATTTTTGATAGCATTATTAATAGCCTATTTGAGTGTAAGAAATCTGATAACGATACATCAACCGATAATCTTTTTAAACACATAACATGAAGATACATTCTTTATGAGTATCCTTTACATTTGGTTATTATATTATTGTGACCAAGACATGTACGAGGTATTTTAGACTTTAGACGAAATTCAATGGTCTAACTGTCCTACTTAACCTCACCAACCAATCATTAACAGTGCATGTGTCTGCAGTTTTCCATTTGTCAAGGAAAATAAATCCTTGGTCCAGTGTTTTATAGCTGGGAAGTGTGTTTATAGTTTAGCCTATAATGTTCACTTTACAGAATTTTATCATTTTTATATGTTTCCTTGGATAAATTCTTTAGCACAATATGAAACGTTGGTATTTACCTGATGTGGTGGAATCATCAAGAATCTAACTGAATCAAATCAAAATGAATAAATTCTGGTCTTCGTGAATCGAAATTCAATCGGTGCTGATATCCAGCGCCGTTTACCTTCAGTCACTGTATCTGTTAACGTGCATCATTCAAGATGGCAACATAAATAATGAACAGAAAATGTTTTCCTGCAGCTTGCACAGTATGGATAGACAGGGATCTAGTGGTTACTGTCATTTGCACACTGTGTATTCTTCATTTGCATCTAATGTGTATCTTACACGTGTGCTACTATGCTGCTGTGACATCTGAAATCTCCTCAAAGGGATTAATACAACGTCATCCTATCTAATCCAAATAGGATTTACTTTGACCAGACAGCGCTATGAGAGAAGGTGGATCTATGCGAGGCTATCCTAAGACACTGACCCCGGGTCAGTTCTGCATTAGCGTGACTTCTAACCGAAGGCAACACTCCCCTCCACCCAAACTAGTAGCATTCTTATCAATATAAACATGCCAGAGTGAAAACAAAGCTCAATGGCTGACGGCGTCTCACCTCGATGAGTAAGCTTTGACTCAGACTCATCATGTGAGGGTTAAGGGTTGGGGATCTCATGATCATGATGCAGGGTCAGTGAGAATAAGGCTTGGCAGCGACTCAAGCTGCCGGCAGTGACTCAACTACATAACATTGTTATTATGCTTCCGGTTCTTTTATTGTCTGTTGGTACATACTGTCTCGTGTTTCCAACAGAATCTCCTCAGTTGAAATTTGCTGTTGAATTCAAGCCGGACGAGGTCGTCTTACCACAATAAGAGTCTTTAAATCAGTTTTGTTTCATGCATAAGCTGCCTCTACTGAACCGAATCTGTTCCTGTAGAAGTGTAGTCATGCACTGTGCCAAGGGTTAGAAATGTGAATCCTGGTGTTAAATCAAAAATCAAAGACTCAGGGGTGTTAAAGAGGTTCAGCCTTCTCTGCGATTTCTCTAATGGACTGAAGAGAAATCGAGGTATAATCAAGATGAGGAAGAAACCCCCGAGTGAGAAGGAGAATTTAGGAAAACAAAATGGTGGGTGTTGTGGTGACTGGATGGACACTAGGTAAGACTGTGCAGAGGTGCTGGATGGTGGCACCATCATCGGTTACTTACTTGGAAGTGATTTTCTTTGTTTGACTGTCGGGAATCCCCTTTATTACAGGACATCTATCAACAAAAGAAAAAGGAAAGAACTATCCATGAATACATGTGAAGCGGTTCATGAGCGTCCAACATCAAAAAACCTAGCCATGCCTGCAGTGCAGACAGTACAGTATGAGTTCAGAGATACACCAAGTCTTTCGAACTGAGGATTGTTCAGACTAATCGCCGCGTTACCCTGACTACCAGCCAGAAAGAGAGACCAGAGACAGAAGTGGGATACTGCGGATAGAAGTTACCTCTGGGGAGGAGGGATAAAGCTATTTTCTATTAGCTGTGTTTATTTTCCGGCATGCTATTCACATTTCTCCATTACTGAGAAACGCTGTGTCCGGTGCAGTCGGGGTTTGTTTAATCATTAGTATCTGTGCACTCCGACTATGACATCTGAGTTCCTTAATCATATTAGCTTTTTGATGAGACATCACTAATTCCTGAGAGGCGGCCCTGTCATGACGGAGATGGAGACAGTCGCCATGGTGAAGGACATAGTGCCTTTGCTCTCTCGGACATCCCGAGCAATAAAAGCTAACCGCTTATAGCAATTTACGCCGACTTTAGTTAATACTTAATGCAGGTCTCAATCAGGCCAGCGGTTAATGCGCACACAAAAATGAATTGGGCTCAGACAGCAGCCCATGTCTCCGCGTCTTTGTTTTGGCTCTGTCTTTTATTTATCAACGGAGGCCGGAACAAACAGCATGTGCTACAAACACCTCAAATGATGAAATGCCGGCAGGAGATTAGAAAATGCAGTTTTCAGGAATCTTGTGCAAATGTTTTTAAGTCCTTGACCCTCTTGACACTCAGTATTTGCAGGTGAAATCAATCGGGGGTGTGATGGTGACTAAACAATGATCTGCTACACTTAGCAATACCGCAGAAATCGTCTGCCTTAACTAGGGTAGCTGGGATCATGACCTCTAGACACACTAGCCACGTCATCTTAGGAGATAAAGATATCTCTTTGAGTTAACTGCAACCGCTGTTGAGGTGCATGGAAAGGCATTATCTATCTGCTTTTTTGTGCAAACTGTGAAGCAACAATGAGCCAAATCGCACACAGGCTAATGACTTTCCTTGTTGTGGTTTTTTTTTTCAGCTGAGCAATCTGCAAATGTGCAGATTCATCTTCAGGCTCCTCTATTTGTCGACTAGCTCAGAAACTCAGCTGACTTCTTAATGACGAGGAAAACAACAGACAGGGATTGAGAGAAGAAAAGAGACGGACAGGAGAGGTGTTTCAACACTTTGTTTTCCCTCCATACTGTGTCTTCCCAGCGTTGGCGGCCATGTCTGTGCTACATTAAGTGTGTGTTAACGTCTTTGTATTAGGCTGAGATTTCAGAGATCTCATACTGTACCGTGTTTTTTGGTGGGTTCACCTGGGAACAAGAGTGCCCAAGGCACGCTCCTTTGGGAAGCCTACGGCAAAGAACACATGCATGTACAGCCATGGGGGTACATCACCATGTACAACAATGGCTAACACGCACACACACATACATACATACACACACACACACACGCATGAAAGCATAACTGCACATGCATACACTAACATAAGCATATGCACAGATGCTACAGATGCACACACACACAACAACAACCTCTGGTGGTGACACTGTCACATCACACAGTTGTGTGTATTATCTTTTTTGTTATTGTCTGCCCTCTGCGATTATCAACTCAAGCAGTAACGTAACCTTTGACCCCATTTACATGTCATCACTGTGATAAAAACTGTGAGTCATTCTTATAGTTTTAACTTTAAAGGTAAACAGTGTATGATTTTCACATTTCTGCTGTTATGTGTGTGCTGGATAGCAGCACCTATCTACATTAAAAGCAGCTTCACTTTAATAATTACATGCTGGTAACTGCACACTACTGGGAGAGGCTATTTCTCACATACAACACAACCTGTTTGGCTTACTTGTAAGTCTGTTTGTTTAGTAAAACAACAGTGTCCAGCTGTTTGTCTAAGACAAGTGATCAGATGTGGCTCTCACCTGCAGGATGGCCCCATAGAGGCGCAGCAGGATGCTCCTTGGCTCGTCCCCAACAGTGTCCAGGCTGTCAGGGAGGCTGCACAGGAAGAGCTTGTTGCTCAGACCACCCCTGGAGAAAGAGAGTCACACAGTCAGTAAATATGACTACATGAGGGACACGTGTTTTGTCATTCTCATTAACAATTTGCTGTAAGTTCAGACACCTTGATGTTTTTTAGTTATGGGTTCAAAGAGGTTTTTATGGATCTTACAACAATCTTCATATATCTCTCTAATATACCCATAAAAATAAAATAAGAACTCACTTAGTCAAATCTTATCTAGCTCAACCATTTCTTCCTTAACATAAACTGTTGATATAAATTTGTTTTTTTTGTTTTTTTAAAAGAACACAATCAGAAGAGCTTTTATTTTGAAAAACAAAACCTTCCTGGAAAGAAAACAACTAAAATAGCAGCTAAAGCAATTGGGGCCAAATGATCATCTTTACTGGCCCCTCAATATCCTAGAAACATCTATTTTAAGGGAAAGTCCAGCTTTGTACAGAATATACCAGTAGTTTTTAAACAGTAAAGTCAGTATTCAATGACTGAGACATGATTGGTGTCAGTTTTTGGGGTTGTTTCGTGGAATATGAATTAATAACTACTCGCTAGAAATTAATTTATAGTGTGATAAGTAAAATAGCCATGTTTTGTTATCGTTGTCCTCGTTCCGGTATCGGCTGTGTAGCTCACTGTGCAGCTGCGTCATTTGTGTGAGGATGACATCATTAAAGTCTGTCCAGTTTAAAGGGAGAGTGGATCTGTTTCACATATTAACACTTAAATGAATAGCAAAATGCAAAATGCAAAAAAAAAAAATCCTGTATTTTTAGCCTTTTAGAGACTAGACAGCAGCTAAATACAGCAGCAGCATCATGACACTAGCTTCAACCAACTGGGCCCTATTTCTATCAAACAAGCACAAGTGAACACATTGTACCTTATGATGGTGATATGGAAATCGTCCTCAGCCAGGCTTTTCCAGGCTCCGTGGAGGAACTCTCTGCACCACAGATAAGCTTTGCGTTGGGTGTCCAGGTCGGGCCGGTCGGGGCAGACCAGATCCTTACAGTCCTCCTGAGTGTCGGGCTGGACCTGCAAGGCGTTCTCGGTCACCAGCAGACCCAGCGACATGGAGGGGGATGAAGAAACCCCGTTGATAAATTTGGTTTTCATTTTGGCTTTTCAAAAAAGAAATAAAAGAATACTCTGAGCTGAAGGCCCCCTCCCTCTGGTTTATTTCGGTTGCTCGGTTACAAATGTCTTTTTCTCTCAGTAAATTAATGGAGGTGCTGTAGTTTGTTTCTTTGTCTTTATTTTTCGTTGGTAAAATGCGTGTCGTTGAGGAGTCAGATCACGGAGACTAGCAGCAGCAGCAGCGGCACCGTTCACTTGCAAGGAATGAATAATTACTAGGAGGTACGCGCCTAGTAACATGGACCGTGTGCAGGGTGGGGAGGAGGGAGAGGTCACATGACACGTCCGCGCCCCTTCTCCTCCCTGATAGGCTGACTCAGACACAGCCCTGCAGGTCCCAAAACAAAACTCACGGTGCCTTCGGGGACTATCGGACATATCGACGAATTTTCTGTAGCATATCGCACTGTTCCCTTCATATATTACCATTGTCAATAAAGTAAAAAAAAAAGAAAAATATTTGAATTAAATAAAATATTTTAATATGTATACATCAGTAGTCTATTATTAACATTTTTTTGTGTATACATGATATTTTATCTGTAAAAATAATATGAAATGTCCTTTTGGTTTTTAAAAGAGTGGTTTAAATAGATATTTTTGAGGGTTATAAGTGTGAATACATTTTCTTCTTTATTGGTGGGTAACTTAATTGATAAGAATGTAGGCACGCATATATAAGCATTTTGCTTCTGCCTGAGCCTGTTCAGTCACTACGTAATACATACAGACCGTTGACTTTGTTTTTTGTTTTTGTTTTTTTCTGTCTATACATAGCTTATATTTACTGTATAATGTGTGAATGAAAATTACTACTACTATGTTGTATTATTTTTATGATATCCATTTCTGCTTACCAGCAGCATTTAAACGTACCCTGGGGAGTTTTCATTGTAGCCGAAACAAACATGGTTTTGTTTATACTTAACATTTTTCATGTATTGTGTGAAAGGTCCTACAGACACATTAAGTGCTTTTCCTGTTTCATAAAACCTTTGGAAAACATTTTGAAACCTTCATAGATCAGATATTTTACTGACACATTATTGCCAATTGTTATCACCCTCCACAGTTGCCAGAAAAGTGTCTGTGTCTATGTATGCACACTACACCAGGCTCGTGATGTGCTGTGAGTCCACCTGCACATGCTGGTAGAACAAAACACTGGAAGAGCTCGCCTAAACATTGCCCCACAGCAATGTTGGACAGGGCAAGATTAAAATCTATACATGGACTTTCTAAGGAGACCCTGAATGCAACATAAACATCTGTCACATGCTGCAGCTTACATTCAAGCATGTTCTCTTCTATTCTGTTTGAAATATGGCATCACAACAGCTACATATAGTATTGTAAGTAATGGGATATAACTCTAAGGATGTATTTTTTTAAACCCACTTCTTGCTTTTCGCTGGCTGTACAAAGAAAGGCATAATATAGAAATTTGTCACCAAAGCACAAGGCAGACATAACTTTTATATACCTCACTGTTGTGATATGTCATGGGTCACCACCTCACTGCCTCATTTTGTTGTGTGTAGCACTAAACTGAGAGAAAATATTCTGTATCCACCACCAGTCACCACTATTTTCACTTTGAGGGTCATATTCCAGACACTGCTTCTTCACACACTGACCATACTAAGATGTGACCAGTGCGCAGAACTGCTTTACTTGTTCTTGGAAATATGGTCCGTAAGTACTGGACGCTTTATTGGTTCATTCAAGCCAAGCCCACAGGCAGACATAGGAAGGAGATGGACAGTTTCAGAGGACGCCAGATGAGGTTGCAACTTCAAGGCAGTCAACCTCCATCACCAAGACCACATCTTCTTGCATATTCAGGGTGCCATCTACTGGAGAAAAAAATAATAGGAATAGGGTCCGTGCATTAAGTATAATTCTTCTGCAGTTCCTCACGTTGTATAATGAAAAATGCCAGTTTTGGGGGTATTGCCTAATTTCATTGTCCTACTTGTGTACATATGTGTGTAAATCTGTTGACGCTTTGAATGTGTTATTGTACCACTGGATGAAGACGTGCAATTCAATTCAGCGCGCCAAAGCGTCAGTTTGTTCCGTTATCCAACTTGTACAATGAAAATTAAACAAGGAAGTCGAGAGCCGGAAACAGAGACAGCTCGTCTTCAAAGTAAAGGTTGCGCGTTTTGAACAACCTTGCGCTAAGCTAAATAAATAAACAAACTGTCTAAATACTGAGCCTAATTCATAACTGTTATAGTTTTTTTCTCTTTTTATTAAGCTTACTTAATCTGTTACTTTGGGCTTTTTTTTTTTACTTTTTTTTTTACTTAAATAATAACGTATACTGTTGGAAGTGGGGTCATATGACTGCTGGGCTGAAGAGCAGAAGGAGAACAGGTGTGCTAACTGGGCAGCTCACACAGGTGCCCTGGATATTGTTTGTTCTGTGTCCTGAGCTCATTGTGTTTGCCCTTCAGCTGAGCTGCTTCCCTCAATCATTTCACCTTTGTTCCTGAGTGCCTTAAGTGAGTTTATTTCATTATATTTTCTCAAGTCATGTTTATTGTTTAGTAAATCTAATCTCCTTGGTTTGTTCTCATGTGATTATATATTTAAAGTGAGAAAGTGATGTACTGATTTGTGATTTCAAATTGTTCATTGTTGTTGATCTGAGATAAAACGGTAGAATATGAACTGTATGTGCACTTTCTTTTATTTATGCAACAACTCAGCTGTAACTACTCACACCTGACTGATTCCAAGCAAAACATTAAATACTTTGACATGGAACAAGCTGACTGCTTCTCCTGCTTTGCTCATCTCATCAAGTCAAGTCCAGTATACTCATAGAAACACAGCAAGTAGAAAATTTCATTTTCAACTTTACATGATCATTTCAATAAAATTCCCAATAGGCTTCTATAATGACTTTAATATTTATCCTTTTAGCTTGTTATTTTTCTGCACCAGATACTTTGAGGATGGAACCCTAAATCTTATTCCTGTGCCCCAGAACAGATTGGTGAATATTTGTGAACATGCAGCACTCTCCTCTAAAGTTAGAAAGCAAAGGGAGAACCTTAAAATATGTGATGTCATCCCAGTTTGCTCTATGACAATGAATGGGGCTCTGATGCCGTGAGGCCTTAAAATGTTTGAGTACTTTCTTACACCAAAATGAGGCACACTACACAGCTACTGCAGATTATGGGGTTATGGGTTTCTCCCAGTGGCTCAGTCATTTCAGCTGTATAACATCAGTAGCCTGACTGATGAAAACAAGCCTTTGTGTTTTTTTTATAATATGACATTAGCAAGTCTAATCTCTTATTTATTAGTATCTTGAACTTCATGCACAGCTGCTGTTGGACTTTTACCTTCACTTCCCGCTGCAGTTCATGGCTTTTAGCTGCAGCTCATGAATTCTGAACCTTTCTTTATGGAGTTTGTGTCACTTGCAGCTGGACTTCATGTTTACTGGTTTAAAAATGTATTCAAAACCTAGCAATAGGTTGGGTGAAATGAACAATTCACCATTTTGGGTTAAAGGGTAAAACCCAGTGCGTGTTGTGTCACATAGTTACCTGGCGGTGGCGTTTGTTTATTTATGTGTCTATTAAAGTTTAAAATGGGGTAAAAATAAAAATTATCCAAACAATTTTTTGAGTGTAAGACTCACCTGCACATTCAACAGTAGATGAAAAATGAATGGTAACGCTTGCAAATGATGGTGTTAAAGATATACAACACTACAAAATCTTCATTAAAAACACGTACTGTCTAATTATTGCGCTATTCACGAAAAAGAAAATGCCGAGTCAATCGTTCAGTTTCACTTTTATTTTCCTGACTTTAAGCCGGTAACACATCACCTGACTGTGTGTGTCAGTGTCTCACCGGGCTGTAGTTTCGTTTCACCCCGGTGTTCATTTGTTTAGGTTTTTGTTTCTCATCGCTCACATGCTGAGCTTTGCTTGCAGTTTAAGTTTCGTTTTTCGGACTGACAGCTGCGCTTTAATAATCAGCTGACGGTCCTGACGAGGCACCATAACAAAAATGTTCTCATGGGGAGAGGACTGTCAGCGCGGGTTCTGGTTAAAAGACTCCGCCTCAGGTAGCGACGGTGAACCGGAGGATGGAGTTCACTTCTTAAACTTGAGTTACCACATCAGGGATCTGTCGGCAGGTCACAGTGTGCTCGCTTTTGTCAAAACTAATGGAAATGCGTTCATCATTCGCACAAATGAGAGCAAAGATGGGAGAAGAGTCAGAGGAAAACAGAGTGAGTATCAGTCTTGTGTTCTGTTTGCATTTATGCTGACATGCACTGTCGACTGATGTGTCCCTGTGGTTTGTGTACCGACAGAGTTCGTAAAGTGTAAAGAGAAGATTCAGGCAGTGAGTTGCGGTGATGATTTGGTCACACTGCTGTCTGACAGAGGCACAGTTTTCTGTGTGGACTCAACTCGTCCCCCTTTCACCCCAAGGTAAAGACAAACAAAGTTTACACGCTTAAATTTTGCAACAAAATGGTGCAAAATATCAGATATTTTGGATGTGATTCCATTACTTGTCTTACAGTATGTAGAATCCTAATTTGTTTTCATCCACATCAGCTCGGTTCTTTTCTGTTTTCCTGTCCTCTCAGACCGCTGGAAGTTTTGTGCAACATACCAGTTTCTCAGGTTGCTTGTGGGAGCCAGCATTCAGTTGCTCTGACTAAAGGTACAGTAACATGTATAGCAAACAGCTGCTAATGTACAAGCTGAAGAAGAAAAAAAAAATGAGATGAAGATAATTATAATTATAGATACATTTCATTTGTGCTGCTCACAGTATATTGTGCATGTAATTTTATTTATTTTATTTAAAATAAGCATTTTAATATGTGTCAGGGTAATTATTGTATGAAATTTGGATGAAACAACCCTCATTACTACTACATGAGTAGCCACTTTGGCCTATTCAATCATAAACAACAAAACAGAATTAAAACTAAAACCCTTCTCCTTCAGGAAACAAAGCCCATGTCTGACAACAAATGTTAGTCTTGCATATTTTTTTATTTTATTATCTGGCTCTCCACCCTCCCAAAATACATAGGATGTCACCAATGCATTTTAAAAGTGACATATATGGTAGAACCTTTTTCTTAATTGTGGTTTGAAGAAAAAAGTCCAGGGTTGCGACATGTCATCACAGTGTCTGAGAAAACAGATTTCACTTTTGTAGAGTGAGCTGGAGCTGACAGAGTCGTGCTGATTTCCCCACAGATGGTCAGGTGTACGCATGGGGTCAGGATTCCAGGGGCCAGCTGGGTCTGGGGAAGGTGAAGACCGACACCAACTCACCCCAACACCTCCGATCTCTGTCAGCAATCCCCCTGGTTCAGGTCGCTGCAGGGGGAGAGCAGAGCTTCGCCCTCTCTGTCTCTGGAGGTGTGTTCGGCTGGGGCAGAAACGACCGTGGACAGCTCGGCCTGGGTGACACAAGAGGTGCTGCACAGTTTCACTTTATATTTTAAGATATAATGTATGTTTTTACATAAACATCAAGGTAAAACTGCAATGAGTTTTTTTTTCCTTTTACACACCTTTTTAAAGGTGAATTATACAAGCAATAACAACACTATTAGGATTTAAATCTATAGAACATACTATTCCCATGGCATGTAAACATGAATGTTCATTTCTTTTCTACAGACAGACATACACCAACTCCTGTTCACTGCCTGAACAAGAAGAAAACGATTCACGTTTCCTGTGGAAAGGATCACACTGCCGTTCTGACAAAGGTAAGTCAAAAAAGGCTGGTAACAAAACGCATTACATTACATTTGCTTTCAACCAGGAGCGCCTCAGTGGCTCACCTGTTAGAGCGCGCACCACATAGGTGTAGTCCTAACCGCAGCGCCCATGGGTTGCTGCATGTCATCCTCTCTCTCTCTCTCTCTCTCTCTGCCTTATGCAGATGGAACGAGGGAATAGGTCCCTACAGTGAAAATATTCATGTGCAATGTTAAAAACCAAATTTTTTCAATTTAGTTAATCAGTACATTTTAACCCGTCTTTAGATATCAGCTTAGAAAATGTTCCTCTCAAAAAGTCTTGACGTCAGTTTTATTAATTAATATGCACAGTTAAATCTCTTATCAGCTGATTTTCTGTGGGACTTTAAACTGTTGCTGTCTGGTTGTTTTCTCAGGATGGTGCAGTGTTTACATTTGGCTCCGGTCAATATGGGCAGCTTGGGCACAACTCATTCAGGGATGAACTCCATCCTCGTCTTGTTGCAGAGCTCTTGGGGGCAAAGGTCACCGAGATTACATGTGGACGGTACCGTATCCCTATCTTTTTTATACTGCAATAAGTCTGTGCCTGTTTGGCTCATTATCTTGAACTGCTTATTAGCAACTTAACAGTGACACCCAAAAATTACCAGTTTACTTTATCAAATATTGCAGGAGGCCTGGAACCGGCTGAAGTGAAAACTATGAAAAGAAAAGTAGTGCATCTATGTCTATCTGTGCCTCTGATGATGTGCTGTTTGTCTTACATTATTTACTCAGACATCACACATTAGTGTTGACAGACTCCAAGAAGGTATACGCCTTTGGGTGTAGAGAGCAAGGGCAGCTGGGACACAGAGACGAGAGTCATCCGTCGGTGCCACTACCTGTTCAACTGCCACAAGGTAACTACATTTCTGGTATAAGTGAAATCAACTAATGAGGATATAATTAAGTGATGTATGAAAGAGTCGACATTGTTACTCATTACTAATAATTTCAGACAGAGGAGATGGTCCCAAAATTAGAAACATCTTCGCAGGAGGAAACTGTTCATTTGCAACATGCACGTGTGATGAGGAAGTTCACGAGGAGTCGAACACCGACAGTATCAGCAACGAAACACAACATTGTCTTGATGACATGATTGACAAATGGATCACTAAATGTGATCCAAAGACATGGAAAAAGATAAAACAGTAAGTATAAAGCAGTTGTTCATTTTCTCCAGTTGTAATCAGTTTGTTGAACAGCCTGATGTTTTGTGACTGTGATTATTCATTTGGAGCCAAAGCTTTTAACACTGTTTTCTCATTGCAATGGATTAAAAATGTAAATTGTTCACAGGGAAATCCACAGGAGTTTTTCCTCTGCATCCTGTTTGAACAAAAGCTTCCTCGAGCAGAGGTAAACACAGTACCTCTATACACGATCATCACTTCTTATCTGGTGAATTATAACATTGACTTTTTAGTCATGCTAGCAGCGTGGCCCTAGGGATGGCCGATAAAAGATGACACTTTGTGTTTCCTCCGCCCCTTTGATCCAGACTGAAATATCTCAACAACTGTCGGATGGATTGTGATTAACTAGGGGGCTCAGCTACATGAGTGTTTAGTAATTAGCAAATGTTAGCATGCTAACACATTAAACTAATTAGATGAAACATTAAACAAACATTATACTTACTAAACATATTAGCATTTAGCTGAAAGCATTTGTTGTGCTGAAGTAACAGTCTCACAAAGCTGCTAGCATGGATGTGGACTTAGTCTTTTTTCTTTGTCTTCTTAGCAAAGACAAACATTTCCAGACGTCAGCAAAGTACCCCGGCTTGAACTTGTCACGTGCGCGACGTGCTTTCAAGAAACTGGTCAAGAAGGACGATGTTTTGGCAGAGGTATTTAACTGAGTTGCACAGTATGTAATGTGTAATGATTATAAAAAGCCTGCTGACTCGTCTGAGGCCTTTAAAAATGACCAACCAGCCCCAGTGTTTTCCCTCTAAGCACCTGTAACTACCTGAACCCAGTTTTTAGTGAGTGACCTTTTGCAATCTTTTTTTAAACGAACAGGTAGAGGCTGCGATCCTGCACTTGCTTCTATCCTTTAATAAGAGACCGGTGGGAGTGGAGGGCTTGAGGATCTTCCTACTTCTCAATGAGCTTCTGTATGTGATCCAGAGATGCAAACGGCAAAAAAGCACCAAGCTCGCAGAGGCGGTCGCTGCTGCAGTACTGGGCTTGTCTCCTGTAAGCCTTCAGGTCATAGGTAAATAATAATATCTTTATTTTTTTATCTCATTTTTAATAAGATGCAGTTCGTTAAAGTTACAATCCTTCAGATTTTCATGAACTCAAACCCAGTTTTGGATATTATTTATTGTCAATGTATTTTTCTTTCAGTGATTACCTTTCTTTAGAACAGGATTTATTAGTAGTGGCAGAGTCTGCTGGATTCAGGTTGCCTACCTAAGCATGACAGACTCACACTGCATGTATGTAATCCAGCTCAATTTTTATCTCATTGATAACATAGTCAGTCTTTCCTGTTCAGTGTCTTTACACCATATCAGAGCTGTATTAAATTGCTGCTAATGTAAATGGAATATTTCATATCGGTGTTGCTTTGTTTTAAAAGCATTCAGCAGGCAGGAAATATGACTCAAAAATGGGTCCACAAAACAAGACAACAGCAACTTTAGACTTTCTCTGACATCAGATGAGTTTTAAATATTGCAGGGAGTAAACTGATAGATTAAGAGCTGCACGCTGCACAACTCCACAGGAGAGTTACAAGCTGGTAACCACAGGTGTCACCAAATCAATCAGGACTGAGATTTTAAGGATTATAATTTTAATAGTTTTAAGGTACAGTATGTCCTTGATGTCTGCTCAGCTGTGAAATGCTCAATGGGGTTTATGTTTGTAAATCTGCATGTTGTCTTCCTCAGGGGACTGGTTGTCTTCACTGTCGACCTCCACCATGGTTAAATATGTGAAGATGTGGAAGCAGTCCCTCTCAGTCATCCTGTCCTATCAGCCTGTTCCTCGCAACTCTGGAGTCAGGAATCTGCTCCTAGTCCTCCAGTACATGTACAATGTGAGTATCAGTTTCTGTCACGCAGCATAATCCTACGCCAGTAATCCTACTCAGGCTTACTACAAAATAGAGTTTTTTTACTTTGTTGAACCTTTCACTTAATAAAAAAACCCACTTGTTTTAAAGGTCAACAGCAGGATCCCAGAATCTCAAAGGATGCAGGAAAGTGATTTTTGTTTGTCTATTGACAAAGGGTTTCTTCAAGAGGACCTGCAGCTTTGGCGTTCACAGTTGAAACGCAAGGTAAAAACAAATATTGTTTATTATTTTCTGAGCTAAAACCATGAGCCTCTACATCATGGGTTTGAATCCGCTTAATGATTTCAGACACTGTCTACTCATGTTTTTCTCTTTTAGAGTGCGCATGCTGAGCCACTTATCCTTTGCAGCTTTCCAATTGTGCTGGATCTGCAATCAAAGAAAGCAGTGTTTGACATGAATACATTTTACACTATGGTGAGTGAAGCCTTGAGCTGTGCCTCAGAACTAGCTTTCACACACAACACTGTCCATGTTGTTGGTGTGTATCATTGGCGTGTCATAAAATAAAAATGTTCTCTGTGTCAAAAATGGTTAAATAAACTAAATGAAATCTTGATCTTATTCAAGGTTGAAGCAGTAAGATGCGCCATCAGGGATTTCTTAATGGAATTTGGATGCTTTCCACCATGTCCACAAGACGTGCTCTTTGTACTGGACCTGAGTCGAGCATCAGTTTTGGAGGACACCTTTGAACAACTGGCTGATCAGGAGGACTACAAGAAACCACTTGTGGTAAACATGTAGTTTTGGTCTGATAAACATAGCATGACCAAAGTCACACTAAAATTGCATTGTTATTTTTATTTTTTTTTGTCTTTTACGTATTATGGATAGTTTCGTTGAGAGGCAACCTTTCTTTTACAGGAAAGCCCTGATCTCTTTCACGCCTGGAAGCTGCCCGGTTTCAGCAAGAGAACTTAGTTTGTGCCCTTTTGTCTTCTAGGTCTTTTTTGATGAAAACCCTACAATTGATAATGTCTACACAAAAGACTTTTTCTATGAAGTCTTTCACAAGATGGTGTCAGCCGAATCTGAGATGTTCATGTTCAATGACTCCACAACACTGGCATGGTTCCCCTCCACAGTAAGACTTTAGAATGAAACAGTATTACCTACCTATAACCTTATAAAAAAAATATACAGTAAATCTTCAATCCTGTACTCAAGCAATTGTCTCCACCATCAACACCAGGCAAAACAGGAGCACGAGAGGTACTTCCTGTTTGGGGTTCTATGTGGCTTGGCTTTGTGCAGCCAGTGCATCATACACTTGCCCTTCCCAATGGTTCTGTTCAAGAAGCTGCTTGGTGTAAAGCCATCACTGGAGGATATGATGGAGTTCAGTCCATGTGTTGGAAAGTAAGTAAATTGAAGTCACACTAATTTGTAGGTTTAGGTGCTGATTTTGCAGAACTTACTGTAAATAGAGTTATCTTAAATATTATATTATTGTTGCTTAAAGGAGTCTGCAGAACATCCTGGAAGACGATGACATAGACGACCTGGATATGTGTTTTTTAGTAGGTGGTCTATAACATTAACTCATTTATCCTCTTTCTGATAACCACCTGACAGTCTGTTATTATTTCCCACAGCAGTGAAATTACTATCTTTTTTTTTTTTCCTAAAAGATCACCTGGGATGGGACAGACGTTGACCTTGATCCTGAAAATCCTGAAAAGCCACTGACAAGTCAAAATAAGTAAGGACCATGAAAGCATTTACCACCCTGCCCAAGATTTTTGTGACATTCTTGTATGTTGTGTCATTGACTATAATTTAAAGAAAATGTGAAATCAGCATTAATGTATGAGGACTCATTACTCTATAATTACACATGCACTTTAAATATGAAGTTTAAGTGTTGTCTCTCACTTGTAAGTCTTTTTGGATAAAAGCCAAATGAGTACCACAAAATCTGGGGTGTCACATATAAGTACACCCTTTGCTTCACAGATTTTCTGTGGTTATCTGACACCCAATAAAGTAAAGGGCAACTGCTATAGAGAGCTATTAAAAAAAAGTCATTTATAATTGTGTATAATGTAATTGTGCATCATCTTGAAAGAAATTAAAAAGATATATTATGTCTACTTTATATTATAATTATTTGACCAAGGGGAAGCATGTAAAAGAAAATAGGATAGGGCCCAGAACGGGTCCTTGAGGAACATCACAAGTAAGTTTCATAGAGAAGTAAATGAAACTCCCAAGTTCCACAGAAAAATGTCTGAGATTTCAACCACTCTGGCATGAAATTAAGAAAAACAGAGCAGTTAATGATATGACAGATGTGTGCACCTAGTTGATGAATTAAAACTTTTTATCTGCTAAACAGGAAGGAGTTTGTGGATGCCTATGTGAACCATGCCTTCAACACATCAGTGGAGAGCGTGTTTTGGGAGTTTAGGCGAGGCTTCTTCCAAGCGTGTGACCGGGACATAGTGAGGCTGTTTCGGCCAAAGGAGCTGCATGAAGTGCTGGTGGGCAAAGACTTCCACGACTGGGAAAAGCTGAAAACGGTACAGTCCAATACAAGACCTCTGCAGGGTCTCGTTTTTCTCCGCAGCTGTAACTGATTTATCACATACTCGTGTCCTTTATTTGAATACTTCAAATATCAAATGTCATTATAATTTTCTGTTTTACTGTAATTAGAACACAGGTTATGAGGGAGGGTACCATGTTGACCACCCCACCATACAGATGTTTTGGGAGGTGTTTGATGAACTAACTGAGGATCAGAAGAAAGCCTTCCTTTGTAAGTACTGTACCTTATTTTAACATATAAGAACGTACTACTATTTCAATTTTGACATTAAAATTGAAATTATATTGCAAATGTACAAAACTAGACTTACTATATATATGCACTAAATCAAGGGAAAGCAAGTTATCATTGGAATTGGTTATCAATACTGTTTTATTACCCACAGATACAATATTTCAGTCTCGATGATTCATGAAGGTTTTTACATTTACTGTTCTGTACACTTGGTATCTGGTAAGTTGTTGTGAGAAAATGCACTTGCACAGTAGATAGTGTTTTACCAGCAATTTTTGGCATTAAAAGAACTGTGCTCGTTAGCAGGAGCAATGATAGTAACATGTGACTGAACTGACCTTAGGGGAAGGAAGTACAAAGCTTTATACGAAGGATGTCTTAAAAATAAATCAATAAAAAAAGGATCTCACCAACTGCCATTTTTCCCTCCATTAGGGTTTCTGACGGGTTTTGAAAGGGTGCCTATTCTCGGCCTTGAGAACATCAAGATGATAATCAGGGGCTTACAAGTCGAGGACCTCTCTGCCGACCAGTACTACCCTCAGACACACACATGTTTCTCTTGCCTGGAGCTGCCCTTATACTCAACCAAGGAGATTATGCAAACCAGGCTGACAGAGGCCCTGAGCAACAACGGAAGAATGTGAAAGTGATGGAGGGACGGTCCCTCAGCCGCTCAGTGTCTGTAATGAACACAGTCTTAACATAGAGATATCACTTGATGGCGGACGAAAGACCTGGTGTAACAGTGTATTAGAAAAAATTCTTTATGATGATGTGTGGTGGGTGTATATAAAAAAATTCATGCCTCATAGTGAAAATACTGATATAAATTGTGTACATATGTTGCAGGGAAATCATTTTATTGTTTTGTTTTTTTGTTTTATTTTACGTTAAGTGTGTAATATCTTTTTTGCATACAGAAAAGCATAATCCTCTGCATTTGTACAGACTGTCCATGTTTGTTTCTAGAACTATAATGTAAGAAAATAATTGTCATATGTAAATATTATTTGGGAACAAAAAAAAATACATTCTTTAATGCATTTCAGTTGTAAAATAATATTAAAATCTCAACCCATATACTTCACTTTCATCACTTCTTACCAGCCGTGTGTGTGTGTGTGTGTGTGAGAGAGAGAGAGTTGGTTTTCAGCACTTTAGCACGTGTATATGTGTGTATCTGTCTGGGGACGTTTTTTGTCACCACTATATATATCAAACTTTATTTGTGTTGCACTTTTCATACAGGTTGGTTCCGTTTTGCTTCACAGATGACTGATAAGCTAAATAGAAGAAAATACAATTTAGAACATAATTACAATAAAAATAAGTGAATAAAATAATTGATAACTCCATAGTGTCACAACCGTGTAAGATACGGACACAAATCTTTACAGTGTACGTGAGATCAAAATAAAGGCTAAGGACCAAGATGGATGTGGTCCAACATATGACTACTGAGTGCTCATGGGTAAATGCACTGTATGTTGAAATGAAACATTGCAACTCCTTAATACGTGTGTTAAGAGACATAAACATATATTTGTATTGTTGATATATACATATATCTTGTAAGGATTACCTTCAGCTAATGAGTGCTAACCTGTTGCCTTTTGCACATCTTTAATATCCAGTCACAATTTCACAACACTGAATGCTTCATAAAGGTAGGGAATGGACATGAGGAGCTTTTTTCTACGAGACAGGTGCACAGTGTTTTTTTCTTTAGAATTAGAAATAGATAATATTTTTAGAATAATTTAAGGTCCCTAATCCTATGCTGAGTATGTGAGCTTTTCAACCAACCAACCCTGAGTTATATTTTCCTGTTTAGTGTCATTTTTTAGTAACTATAATTACCTCATCATCCAAGTACCGTCATATAATGACAAGTGCAATCAACTCCAGTTTCACTTTCGTTTTTCTTTCCACTTCAATTGTAATAAACTTCTGACTCGCTGGGCGTGTTAGTCTGTAAGTTTTGCTTTCCTTTGGTCACAGCAGCTGAATGAGCCAATCAAGAGCCGCCTCTGACTGATAAAGCTGAATCATAAAAGCCCGAGGTCGGTTGGTGAGAGGCACTTTACGAAAATGTTTTCTTGGGGCGAGGACCGTCATCGGGGCTTTGGCTTGAGAGGAGACTCAAATATCGCAACCGAGGATGGAGTTCACTTCTTAGACCTCAGTTACCACATCAGGGATCTGTCAGCAGGTCACAGTGTGCTCACTGTCGTCAAAACTAATGGAGAAGTGTTTATCATTCGCACAAATGGTGAGTCTTATATTCCCATCTCTATGTATTTAACGTTTGGTGAAGGAGGGAAGTTCTCTCTCTTTTTCCCCTTCACTGATCAGCACCTGCTGTGTCTCTGTGGTTTGTGTAGACCTACGTACAGAGTTGGTGGGGTGTAAGGAGAAGATTCAGGCTGTGAGTTGTGGTGATGATGTGGTCACACTGCTGTCTGACAGAGGCACAGTTTTCTGTGTGGACTCAACTCACATTCCTTTCACTCCAAGGTAAGAACAAACAAAAGTTTTAAGTTTTGTAACTAAGTGCAAATTTGAGTATTTTGAATAATGAGATTTTGTTTTTGTTTTTTTTTTTGATCGGTTGATTGTTTTGTCTTTTGAAAAGTCGGCAGTTGAATTCAGTTGATCTTACTTGAAAGTTGATCTTACTTTAAAAAAAAAGTGTCCTTAAAATGTAATTGTGTTTACTTCATTTGATGAAGTCGTTGCAACTTAAAAATGGCGACTAAAGTTAACTTGCTCTTAAGTGGTAGCGACTTAAGTAAAACAAGTTAGTCTGACTTGTGTGGGAAAGTTGTAAATAAATAAATAAATAAATAAATCAAGTAAGCACAACAAAGAATGATAGGTTCACAGGATTGTTTTTATATTTAAGAAAATACCATTTTGAGTATTTTAACTAAAGACCAATGTATGAATTAACAAAAAGTACCCAATGAAACAAATCTATTTCTAATCGCGACAAAGTATTCAATTTATGCACTCAATTTATGCCTGCAAACACATTACCCCAGAGCATGCTGGGACACTCCACCACTGGGACCTTCCCACCTCCCGCTCTACCCACACCCCAAATAAAAACTCCAGGAACACAAAGTTACGAGTCCAGTTTTCTTACGTGAACTTAGTTTCATACCTTCGTCAGGCAAAAACAGTACATTACTCACATTACACGAGTTGAATCAACAGGATAGTGAGAAATAAGTAAACTACACTAATGTAATTCAAGTCAGCGGTATAGGTATTACCTTTTACAGCCAGCTCTGATCATTTCTGAACACGTGTCTAAGCTATGTTTGTTTCTGTTGTTTCAGCACTCCCAATGCTCTGTGTAACATACAAGTATCTCAGGTTGCTTGTGGGAGTCAGCATTCAGTTGCCCTGACCAAAGGTACAGTAACATCTACATTAAACTACTGCTAATATACAAGCTTGACAACGTGATTGTAAAAGTCCAACAGTGCCTTAGGTGATGGTCCAAGTCATAATAATAATTAAAGTGATGGTGATTTCCCCACAGATGGTCAGGTGTACACATGGGGTCAGGATTCCAGGGGCCAGCTGGGTCTGGGGAAGGTGAAGACCGACACCAACTCACCCCAACACCTCCGATCTCTGTCAGCAATCCCCCTGGTTCAGGTCGCTGCAGGGGGAGAGCAGAGCTTCGCCCTCTCTGTCTCTGGAGGTGTGTTCGGCTGGGGCAGAAACGACCGCGGACAGCTCGGCCTGGGAGACACAACAGGTAAAAAAAAAAAACACTTATTATATACATGTACATATACTGTATGTATTTATACCTTAACATGTAAATCTGACGTTTAATATCTTTTGTATAGACAGACAAACACCAACTCCTGTTCACTACCTGAACAAGAGGAAAACTATTCACATTTCCTGTGGAACAGATCACACTGCCGTTCTGACAAAGGTTAGTCTTCACACTCTCATGTTGTAAGAAAAGAAAAAATACACAAGTAAACACTTGCAACTTACTCAACAAATGATACTGAAATGATGGAACGTGTTTTGAATGATCTTTGGTGAAAATGTTTAGTTTAAGTAAATGACATAATGTTTGTAACATGATAGATATCAGTGCAGAAATGTATTTTAATTTGTTAAAAATTTCAGCAGAAAAAATGTAAAAACAATCAGTATCATGAGCCAATCAGTAATCAGCCATTAGTATATCAATAATATTTACTGTCCACTGACACACTTATACTCACATACTGACTTTGTGATGTAAATGGAAGTACAACAACAAGTGGTGCTTTAACTGTAGGTGTCTGGTTGTTTCCTTCAGGATGGTGCAGTGTTTACATTTGGCTCTGGTCAATATGGGCAGCTTGGGCACAACTCATTCAGGGATGGACTACGCCCTCGGCTTGTTGCGGAGCTCTGGGGGGCAAAGGTCACCAAGATTGCATGTGGACGGTACAGTACAGTTCTAAAACTTATGATAACCAATTACACAGAGACATTTCAGCTCGTTCCTGGTGCAGTTTCAGCAATGATTTGAATTTCTTTTCTTCCAACTGCGACTGTGTTTACTTACAAATGCCAACGTGAAATATGAACCTCTCAGGATCATTCACACACTGCCAGTTGACACAGACGCAGCGCTAATGAAACGTAGCTTGGCTGCATGAGTTGTTATTGAATGTCAGTCTATAAACCTTGACATTGTGAAAGAAGTTATGTCAGTGTTGGATGTTTGAAATTCAACATTTCACAACAAGTTTCATCTACCAATAGAGAGATTAGTACACTAGCTGTAGTCTGGTGAAATAAATTCTTGGAGGCTGCAAAACATTTGAAAAAGAAACTTTGTTGACATTAAAAATATATGCCTGAAGATCAAAAACTGTCTGACAGTCTTAATATTTCTTTTTTCTCAATCAGGCATCACACATTAGTGCTGACACACTCCAGGAGGGTCTACTCCTTCGGGCGTGAGGAGCAAGGGCAGCTGGGACACGGAGAGAAGAGTCATCCATCTGTGCCACTACCTGTTCAACTGCCACAGAGTAAATACAGTTTTCAGTTTGTATGCAAAATACAAGGCTCAAAATCTATAGTTGAAACAACTGTAGCAAACAAAATATAAAAAATGTATGATTATGTTAATGACTGATGGGACTTAGACACAATTGTGAAAAGGTGGGTACTCAGCTAGGATTTAAAAGTGGTGGCTGTCCAGATGTGGAAATAAAGTGCGACCAAATCACAAATTTTAAGGCAGTTCAAAAACATGTGTGTGGAACCTTGTTGCAGAAGAAGATGGATAATATAACTCTTAACGCCTTCTTCCGAATACCTACTGCATGTTTGAACGTTCCTCAGAGGATAAGATTAAGGATAGACGTAACTTTTATTCGATTATTATTCCAGATCTCGGCGATGGTCCCAAAATAGGAAACATCTACGCAGGAGGAAACTGTTCTTTTGCAACGTGCATGTCTAACGAGGTGCGAACACAGACACATACAGTACACACCCTAATGATACCTTTACCCCATTTAAGTTATTCTCCTGAACCAAACATGAACTCTTTTTCTTGTTTCTTTCTCAGGACATTCAAGGAGGGTTGAGCACAGACACTAAGAACAATGTGACACAGCACTCTCTTGACGGGATGATTGACAGATGGACGTCTAAATGTGACTCAAAATCACGGAAAAAGAGAAAACAGTGGGTATAATGGAGAACCAGTTATTTTTCTCTCAATATGTATTTAATTTGTCCAGTGTTTTTGTTACTGTTATTTAGCTCCAAAGCCATTAATACTGTATCCTCAGTGTTATTGACTAACCATATGAAACCTTCACAGGCAAATCCACAGGATGTTTTCCTCCGCTTCCTGTTTGAATCAAAGTTTTCTGGACCGAAGGTAAATGCAGAATCTTTGCGCATAATCATCACTAATTAGTTTCTGGTTAATTACAATACATTTACATGTGCTTCTTGTCTCGTTAGCAAAGATAAACATTTCCAGACCTCATCAAAGTACTGCGGCTTGAACTTGTCTCTTGCACAACTTAACTTTGAGAAGCTGGTGAGGAAGGATGCTGTTTGGACAGAGGTATGAAACTGAAATGTGATTGTATGTTAGTTATCTTCTCAGTGATTAACAGGAAAGAGTGGGGATTTTATTTTCTAAACCTTTTAGTAAGTTAGTTGTAGTTCAGTTAGTAAATTATATTTTCTCAACAGGTTGAAGCTGCTGTTCTGCAGTTGCTTCCTTCTCTTGATGGGAATTTGGTGGGAGTGGAGGGGCTGAGGGTCTTCCTGCTTCTCAACGAGCTGCTGCATGTGACGCAGAAACACATACAGTGGCCGAACACAGACCTGGCCGAGGCCGTGGCTGCTGCCTTTCAGAGACTGTCTGCCGAAAGCCTCCAGGTCATAGGTACAGTGAAATATAACTGTTTGAAATCTTTGCTTGTTTGAGAGGCTTAATTTTTCATTAATCGTAAAATCGTGTAAAAGTGTGATCCGCCAACCTCCAGTACGGTCTGTGTCCAACAAGGAGAAAAAGTTTGTTCTTGATACGTTTCTAAAGCCAAATTACTTTTTGTGAAATATAGTGTGGTTGAGGAGGAGAGGACGCGCTTTGCTGTTGCAGGGCTGTTAGTGTTGTTGTCATGTTTTCCAAATACCCTATATATTCTGTAACAGTGTTGTATAACACCTCAGACCAGTGTCTGCGGTTGAGACATTATTGTAATAAGCTGTGTCCTTGAATGGAGTCTGAAATGTGCCAATCACACACCTGTTGAATTTTTCCAGAATATAAACGGTTAATTGTACATATAAATTAAGAATTAAAATAAATAGATAAATGCTTTTAGAATAACATTGGTTAAAGTCGGAGATAAATGTAAACTGACGCATTAGTAACTGGGTAACAAAAAGTTAAATTTAAAAGCATATTGTAAAATTAATCTTGTGAATCTCTTAAAATTTCAGTGAATTCAAATATAATTATAGAAGTAATTAAATTCTCACTGGCATTAATAATTACAAATCTGCATGTTGTCTTCCTCAGGGGAGTGGTGGTGCTCGCTCCCAGTCTCCACCATGGTTAAATATGTGAAGGTGTGGAAACAGGCCCTCTCAGTGTCCATTAGGCCTCTTCCTTACAACACTGGAGTCAGAAATCTGCTACTGGTCCTCCAACACATGTACAATGTGAGTCTCACTTGCCTTTTATCTCCTGTAAGTTTCAAACCGTACCAAATGTAATCACGACACACCCTTTCTATAAAAAATGTTCTTAATATTCCTGCTTTAAAGGCCAACAACAGGAGTGCAAGACGTACAAGAATCCCAGAAAAAACGTACTGTATGGGAATTAACAAGGAAATTCTTACAAAAGATGTGCTTCTGTGGCGTTCAAAGTCAAAAATCCAGGTAAAAAAAAAAAGAGAAGTTTAATAAAACACATCTCAGGATGTCAGTCAAGTCATTCCCTCCTCTCTCTCATTTTTTATATAGTTTCATATAGTGTTCATTCATTTAAAAAGAAAAACATCTCATTTTCATTGGTAGATTTTAGTAAAAACTGAGCATGCTCTTTTTGCAGGATGTGAATTATCAACCAACTACCCTGTGTAACTACCCATTTGTGATGGATCTGAAGTCAAAGAAAATGGCTTATGACATCGATGCAGGAATCACACAGGTAACTTAAGCCTGGAACGGTCCAATAAATCAGTTTTTATCATGTTGTGCAGTTTGTTTCATGTGCCTGTCCTGATCCAGAAACTTACAGTATATGTATTAGCTATCTAATTTTAAAGCTACACTAATAAATTTTAACACTGGATCAAATAAAACATGTATAATGTGAAATGGGTTGCAATTTGGGACCATTTTTAAAATGACATTTTGAATTGTATTATAGGGAGATCACCAGGTAATGTTACCTGGCCCTTATGGATGGGTTGTCCAGCCTGAATCTTACTTCGAACTAAAGCTGAAGCGAGCTTCTCTTTTGAAGGAAACCTTCAGTCAGCTGGCTGCTGCTCATCACAGTGTCTTCAAGAAGTGGCTTGTGGTAAATATTTAATTTTGACCTGATGGTTGAAGCATTACCAAATAATTTTGTAGTTATTTTTATCTAAGCTTCTATCTAAAAGGAAGAATTGTGACTTTTTGTCTCCCAGGTGTATTTTGATGAGGAACCAAAGATCACAGATGTCTACAAAAGAGACTTTTTTTACCACTTGTTTCATGACATAGCTAAATCTGGGATGTACATGTTCAATGACTCCAAAAGGGTGGCATGGTTCCCATCCAAAGTAAGTCTTTCGACTTACTTTTAACCTCATACAGCAACATTTCTAACCATGGACTCAGGATTGTCTGTATTTAATGGATTTCTTCTCTTGATGTTAAGCAGTAATGCGACAATATGCAATTTCACTTCATTTCTATTCAAGCAATTTCCAGAGATTTATTATTTCTACTTTTATCAATGCAGACAACAAAGAAGAACAAGAAAAAATTCTTCCGGTTTGGGGTTCTGTGTGGACTGGCCTTGTACAACCAGAGTATCATATACTTGCCCTTCCCACTGGCTCTGTTCAAGAAGCTGCTTGGCGTTGAGCCGACACTGGAGGACTTGATGGAGTTAAGCCCATCCGTTGGAAAGTAAGACATTTTAAATTTAAATACAAATTTATGGTTTTGCATTGTGCTGTCTGGAAAGTCACAATATATTAATAATACTGTACAGTAAGTAAATAAACATTTATGTTAATATAACTCTTTAATATATTTTTTAAGGAGACTGCAGTATGTGTTGGACTATGACGGTGACCTAGAGGACCTGTGCGTGTCTTTTTCGGTTGGTGTTTTACTCTAAAATGTGGCCAGTAATCTATCTCATTAATAATAATCTTTCTTACAGTATTACAATGTATTTTCAGAGATACCATAATCTCCTTTCTTTAATAACTGATCTACAGATCAACTGGGATGGGACAAATGTTGAGCTTGATCCCCAAAATCCTGAAAAGCCAGTGACAAGTCAAAATAGGTAGGTAACTCTATATTTACTGTATATCTGGAAGGAGCAATATCAATGATATATTTCAATAGTTGGAGCCTTGATGCAAACATTAAATATAATAATCCAACGCTGAATTTAATTAAAACTAAATGTATAATATTTGATAATCATTCAATCACCTCGAAAAGCAAACTCATGATAAATGATATTGAAAATGAAGGAGTGTCTGAAATTAAATTTCTAATAGATGCATAGAAACTATGCTGGAAGCCACATATAACCTATATTAAAGCAAAAATACCAAAGTCAATTGCTATAATATATGAAGTCAAAGATCTCTAAATCAAGTGTTTGTTTGTTTTCATGTTACCTATTGAGGTTAAACATCATGTATTATTAAAAGTATAGACTATAAGCTGTAGTTTCAGCCTACACCCATTTGGACCTGTAGAAATCATTGTATTTAAATTTGTGTATTTATACTAATCTATTAATTCTATATCTATACAAACAAGCTAAATTGTGTACGTGACCTGCATCTAAAGTAGCTCTGACTCTGATGTTTCGGTGGATTAAAACGTTTATCTGCTAAACAGGAAGGAGTTTGTGGATGCCTACGTGACTCACGTCTTCAACACATCAGTGGAGAGTGTGTTTCAAGAGTTCAAGCGAGGCTTCTTCCTGGTGTGTGACTGGGATTTTGTGAAGCTGTTTCGGCCAGAGGAGCTGCAGGGAGTCCTGGTAGGCGAAGATGTCTATGACTGGGAGAAGCTCAAACGGGTACAGTCGGCAAAAAGGCCCTTCGTGTTCTAGTTTTCTCTGCAACAGATTTCCCACATGCTAACGTGTTTGATTTGACCACGTCCCAGAATCTAAATGTTTTTGTCACCTCCTTTAGAACACAGTTTATGAGGGGTACTACGATGGCCACCCCACCATACAGATGTTTTGGGAGGTTTTTGATGAGCTAACTGAAGAACAGAAGAAAGATTTCCTTCGTAAGTACTGTACCAAATCTTAAGAGCTTTTCCATGTTGAAACCTATAGACTCTTATATTGATATGTTAGGATGCATTGTAAAACTGAGCAAAACTTTCAACCGTGCCAAGCCATACTTTAACAAAAATCTCGTACTGCTTTGTAGCATATCGAGTCACCGAATGCAAAACAAAAAGTGGCTCGATCTCTGTCAGATCATGCAGGCAGCGTGTTTCCACACATGCTGTTTCATTATCGTTAGAATAGTGCAATTGCTTTCAGAGTTTTTTGAAATAATGTGTACAGTATCGGTGCATGGCAACTAGAGAGTGGTTAATGGTAGGCAGCATCAACACTTGGTGGTATGGTATGATTAGGGAAACATTAGTTGTGGGTTTGAGACAGGATGCAATTTCCAGCTGTCTACTTTACCTGATTGGCAGTATGAGCTCCTCACCCTCACTTTCTCATATACATAATGAAATGCCCTCATTGTTAACATCATTAGTTTCCTGTGCTTGAAAAGTTGTAATAGTTGTTTGTATGAGGTGAACGAGTCAAAAGTAAATATATTTTAATTTATTATGATTACTATTAGTTATCTTTCACCCACCCATATAAATAAATAAATAAATAAAGCAGATGATTCTGACGCACAAAAATGTGAACAACAAAAAGTAACTTGAAGATTCCTACTTCTCCCTTCGCTGGTGTTCTTCAGTCTTCCTGACTGGTTTTAGGAAGGCTCCTATTCTCGGCATGGACCAGATCCACATGAGGGTTCGAATCAAGCAAATCCTGAACGGCTCCTACGATCAGCACTTCCCCGAGTCTCTGACATGTCACTCTATTCTGGAGCTGCCCTTGTATTCAGCGAAGGACATCATGCGAGACAGACTGACAGAGGCTCTGATGCCAAAGAGAGGATTCGAAAGGCCGTGATGAGGCAACAGCTGCTGGACAGGAGCATGTACTGTACCTGTGCTGGGAAAGGCTGGACTTCATTTTTACTTTTGGATCAGCTTCCCTGCCTCAGGATAAAAAAAAACAAATAACTGTACTGTATGCACATGACTTGACACTGTAACAGTGCAATTTAAAAAGATTGACCAAAAACAAGCATTTGCAGCCATTCCCTCTCAGCAGCTCTAAAAACTGATGCCAAAAACTTTATTTGCGGTAATTTAACTTATGATCTAAGTTATTTATGCATATATTGTGAGTTGTATATATTCTCATAAAAATGTTTTTATGTGGCACATTTTGCTTAGACCCAGATGAAATAAAAATATATATTTATTTTCCAGTTTATTGTGTACACCTTAATGAATCTAATGCAATACAGCATTCCTGTAATAGAGCTTATCCTTGTGAAGTTTACAAAGTTCTTTCTGATTCTGTGTGAGAAAAGTATTATTTCAACTGTAGGGTGATTTTTGAATCTTTGATTTGTATTAAATGGAGTGTGACTAAATGCTATTGTTATTATTGTCGAATGAGCTGGAAGTTGTTTGTAAATCAGATTTATCCTTTGTTTAAGTTATCTAAGTTGCACTGTTTGGTGTCATTGTTTTGCCATGGTTCTATTGTATATTCTGTTTTTACTTCACACTACGTAACCATCGTATTGAGTCAATTGAAAATAATCTGACATTAGAAACACCTTTGTACAAAAACATGTAAAATATGTTTTTTGAAAATGATGGAGCAATAAAAATTTTACATTCATCAAGTGTCATCTGTGGAAACACTGAAAAGTTCCCTTTTTCTAGAGGTGAAATGTAATGTATTATGGTATGAATGTAATGAATGTCCACACTATATGTTTGTGTACTACTTTATATGATGGTGAAGAAATTAACTAAACGTACTACACAGTCAATTGCTGGGTACCAATGTGTCATTCTTTGTACTACCACTAGAGAGCGCCAAAAATACCACATAGTCGCTTGTGAATAAATGACAATACATGGGCCTATATCCTATGAATACAGTATATCTTGCATTGAAATTGAACTCTGCCAAGCTTTTATATTAGGAAGATTAGGAAAATAAGGAAAATTGAAAGTGTTATCAGACCAGTGAATCAATCAACCACAGCAATATTGGAGAGATTTAAAATGTTAGAGGCACATCTTGGGTCAGAAACACTTGGTTGTTGCTGTTTGCATCACATGCACTGTGTTTTTCTGTTTTCTTCTCGAGCAAGCAGGATTGAAATCCTGCTCAGGGATTAAACATGGAGTCACAGGTACATCTGAAAAGTGTGTGCCTTCTTGTAAATGCTACATAGTGAGGACTGAAAAAGTATTTTGAGGACATTTTGGGGGATGTGAGGACATTCCAGTCCTCACAACTTCAAATGGCTGTTTGAGGGTTAAGACTTGGTTTTAGGGTTAGAATTAGCTTTTTACCCTCATACAAAACCTTATATTCTTTATCTGTACTACATGCTGACGGATGGAAGTGTGCTGGGTGCAGGTAGATATAATATTGAAAGGAAGAAAGAAACAAAGAAAGATACTAAGAAACATGTAGACCACTAGATGGCCCCATTATCCTGTTGGTTGACTGGTTTAGATGAAACAAAGAACTGTTGGGATGAGATCAGCTATGATTAATGCAGACGAGTGTAGCTTTACAGAATAACAATGCTTGGAAGGGAAAACCTACAGATAATAACAAAAAGACATTAAATTAAGTCCATTTTAAGAATGAGAATGTCAGTGTGATGTGATGCTACAAACTAAATGGGCATGGAAACGAGCTACCACACACAAACAAACTTACATTTAAATGATAAGATCATTAGTAAATACTACCTGACATACTGTAGCTCCCTTTAGAGATTGTGGAGGAATACTATGTGAATGTTCCTCAGGACATTCCACTTTCTAAGAACAAACTAAGAGTATAAAAGGGAACAACTTTTCTTGTTTGTTTGTTTGTTTAGGTTGTCATTTCCCTTCCCCTGAATCTTTTGTATAAATTCCGGCCAATATAAATAAAGTCATTACAATAGAAGCATGTTAGGAATTCAAGTTGTTATATATGTTATGGTCAAGCTCATTGTGCCTTCCTGCTATTTAGAGGAAAAAGAAACACATTAGATAGTTATGTAATTTCTTGGACTTCCGCGGCATTCATTCAGTCATTTTCCTCTCTCCGCTGCGTACGAGAGGCTCGCGGCCGCTGGCTGGCTGCTGTCTGCTGGCTGCTGTCTGCTGGCTGCTGCTGCTGCTGCTGCTGCGCCGCGGGAGCGAGTTGGAATGTATTGACGTCAGAAGGAAGCTGCTCTGGACACGCGCGTCCACGAGATGTTCCGTTCCTCCGCTGTCTTGCCTCCTGTGTGTGCGTGTGTGTGTGTGTGTGTAAGTGCGCGCGCGCGCGCGCTTGTGTGTGTGTGTCTCCCTCTGCGGAGCGGGCGCGCGGTCACACAGCTCGAGACTCTGGAATGAATCGAGGCAGGCAGGCAGTCATGAGAAAAGTATGTGCTCTCACGGACCGCGAGTATGGAGTATTATGAAAGAAAACGAGGAGGAGGAGGCGGCGCTGTCATTTTCCACGTTTGAATTCAGCAGTGACATTAAGTGTGAGGCTGTGGAGTGACAGTGAAAGAAACGCGCAGCAGCTACGGGGGTTATTTGCACAACAATGGTAAGTTAGCGCCGAGGTTACTGTATCTCTGGCAGTGTGTTGTTCCGTTTGGCGCTGTCAGTGTCAGTGAGGTTGTTGCAAGCGTTTGTTTGGAGGTGTTGAGCAGCGAGCCGGGAGGGTGACTGACTACATGCGTATGTGCCAACTCGGGACTGCAGTTGAGGCCAAGTGTAGAACAGCTGGCCGTAACACAAGTGTAGCAGCCCGTGGGCAAGATTACGCAGTGTTTAGGATCTGATAAAACTGTAACGCCAAGGATATCAGCGCATTTAACACGGCCGGGCCTGCTGCTGTCCACTTGGCCCAGTGAAGCTGCGAGAGGGGATTTAAACATGTTGGAAAAGGCTGCTGTTGTCTGTACAGGTAACAATAATGCTGCTACATAGTGATGAATAAGTGATGATGGTGATGATGATGAAGTGTTGACAGTGTTGGTGATGGTAATAAGGGTGAATATGATGAGGGAAAACAACAATGAAGCTGACTGACACTCAGTGATAATTGCATTGATGATGACCGTGGTAATGAAGATGATGATGGCAGCTGAACTAGTTACCCTGGGGAAGATCTGATGATGACATCATCAGGTCTAATGACACCTTCTGACCCTCTTAGCGAAACTAATGACACACAAACACACACACACACACACACACACACACACTCTCACACACATACATTATGGTTTCCTGTTACAGTATTGATTTAGCGTGCCAATCTTTGTGCTGGATGGGTGTTATTTGAGATAGAGACAAACAGCCCTTCAACATCACAGACAATAGAAGAACATTTTACCCTCTGCTGCTCTCACTGCACTATAATCCTATACATTGTAATCTAGTCTTCACTACTTAATTTAAACTTGTTCTGTCGTCTCTGTCTTTGATAAGAGATGTGAAACATCAATCTATTACTGGTGCTGTGCCTGAAGGGATGAGGCATTAGCAGCAGCTGACCTCATCTAAAGCCCTTTTCCCTTTGGGCCAAAGGCCAAAATTATCAACACAGTCATTTCGTCTCATTGTGTTGTCTTTTCTTTGTCCTGCCAGGCGACTCCCTACACCTTGACGCCGTGAGACAACTATTCCCCATCTCCTCTTTCCTTTTGTACCTTTTGTATTCGCCTCCAGCCCCTGAAGTCGTCCAGTTCAATCCCTCCTCTACCCTCCTTCCTTCCCAATCCCCTCTTTGTTTCAAACATGGACTCCGCTGGAGAGATAATCTCAACCCAGGATGGACATCTCGACCCCAGGTGCAGCCCCGGTCGCTCTGATCTCAGCGGACTCTACCATCTGGGACGGACGTTGGGCAGGGGCCACTTTGCAGTGGTTAAACTGGCTCGTCACGTCAACACTGGCCAACTGGTGGCTGTCAAGATGATTGACAAGACAAAACTTGATGTTATGGCAACAAGCCACCTCTTACAGGAAGTGAGGTACATAATAAAATTATTAAGGACAGAGGTTAAGAAGAAAAGATTAAAAGGGTTGAAAAAAAATTGAAAAACAAAATGGGAGCACTTTATAGTCAGCTTTTTTAAGGTCAGATTTAATGGGATTTCAAACAGACAGGGATTTTAGACTGTGTGTGGTCCGTTTCAATCTTATCTGCCAAAAATGGAACAAAAAAATAAACTCCTGTCTAAATTTTAAGGTGCCCTGAAGGAGAAGCATCACTCAGAGTATCTTCATCTTCAAATCTTACATTCTTACTTCCTTGAATTACTCACTGATTATCTCACCGTCATAACGAATCATTTTCAGGTGCATGAGGCTGGTCCAGCACCCCAACGTGGTTCGCCTCTACGAGGTCATCGACACACCCACCACCCTCTACCTGGTCATGGAGCTGGCTGAGGGGGGCGACCTCTACGACTACATCCTCCGCCATGAGGGAGGTGTCGCCGAGGGCACCGCCAAGCGCCATTTCGCCCAGATAGTGCGCGCTGTGGCATACTGCCACCAGCTCCACGTGGTGCACCGGGACCTGAAGCCAGAGAACGTGGTATTCTTTCCCCAGCAGGGGGCGGTGAAGCTGACGGACTTTGGGTTCAGCAACTTATTCCAACCGGGGACAATGTTGGCCACCAGCTGTGGGTCGCTGGCGTACTCCGCTCCAGAGATTCTGCTGGGAGAAGAGTATGATGCTCCAGCTGTCGGTGAGAAATGTTGATTTTTTTGGGGGGGTTTTGTTTTTTTGTTTAGATTGAACTATTGGAATAGATCAGTGATTCCTAAACTGGGGGGTCATGGCGCCGCCACATGGGGACGCAAGATGTTTCAGAGAATAGGAAAACAGAAAATACATACAAATTATGATTATTTTAAAGTTTCATCCAAACGTCGCTTATCTTCTTCTGAATTACTGGACAATTCTACCAACATTATGATGAACGATTTCATACAATGCAAGAAAAAAAAAATCACTCTTTGATTAATCTGGTCACAGCCCATTGACCGACTGGTGGCGAGGGATCACAAGCATCTTTCCGCCTGAAGGGTCAGGGGCCACAAAGGTCGTAAAACCATTGGCCCAGATAAGCAAGTATGCGCAGGCTTCTAGTTGTGAACATTAAATTTGCTGTAACACACTCGCATACATTCAAATCATTGTCATTCTGTTCTGATATCAGCGCTTGAAATGAAGTATGGATCAAAATCTTTGTAAATCCACTTTTTCTCAGCTGATTTAATTCAATTATTTTACTCCCTCATCCTTGTTCTGGAGCTTTCTTTCATATGCCATGATCCTCATCAGAGCCCACATCAGAGTTTTCCCACCTGTCATGGCGTTAGGTGTTGGTAGGTGCTGATTGAGGTCCATTGTCGGTTTTTAGAGTTCATGCTTGATCACAGAAATAGCAGTTGACAGAACAGCCTCACAGGGTCCATTTAGTAGCTGTTCTGGAGCTTTTGATCATCAGCAGAGGAAGTAAGATAAGGTGAGATTGTTTTGTCAGCTGCTGTTTCCAATGCCAAGAAACAAAAAAACTCATGTGATTGTGTTTGGCCTCGGCTACAACAAACTGTTAACATGACAAATGGTCCATATGCCGAGTTCAGCTGGAAGGATTTATTGTTTGTAATTGTGCCTGTTTGCATGAGCCCGCGCGTGTGTGTGTGTGTGTGTGTGTGTGTGCATGTGCAGATTCATCACTTTACCTCTATGTGTGGAGTGTTTGTGTGGCCATATTTGTCCCTTTGACCCTGTGTATGTATTCCTGTGTATTGTATTGTATCTCAGTTTGTGTTTGTGTGTGTGTGTGTGTGTGGTCCTGCTCTGTATTTCCTTGCTTTTATCTATTTGTGCCTCTGTGTGTGTGTGTGTGTGTGTGTGTGTGTGTGTGTGTGGATGTGTGGATGTATGTGTATGTCTGTATAGGATTAGTGTGCGTATCTGGGTCAGTCTCAGCAAGCCAGCCAGTCATGAGCCAAGTGGGCACGTTCTGCAGTGGAACCAAACACTGCAGCTCACCACTGGACTCTTACACTGCATAGCAAGCATTTGTATGTCTGTGTGTGCGAAGACAAAGGCAGATAGCAGAAAAGAGAGAGTATCATGCTTCGCTGTTTAGAGAGGTCGGTCTGTACGGTTGGGAATTATCTGACATTAGAGGTGAGGCGGGCAGGTAGATTGTGGGATTTGACATTATAGAAACCGAGGGAAAACTGAGGGATTAGGTTTTATATCTCCTGGGGGGGGGTTGCACAGCATGTCCGCTTCAGGGAGGTCGGTGGTCTTATCTGCTAAGCTGGACTAGGCTGGATTCTGGCAGGGTTTGGCCGCTATTTATTCTGGTGACTACAAATGCATCTCCACTGAATACAAATGCATCCCAGCTGCACAGCGAGCGGATGTTCTTGTGGAAGGACATCTACAGCATTTGTTTTTGTTTGGAGGAAATACTACCTGTGGAAAGAATGAGTTGGAAAATGGGGCAAGAAAGTGAAAGGCTTTGAATTTTCTCTCTTTCACATTAACTTACCATGTCTGTGTATAATGGGCTCAGTGGGATGGTTTTTTCTTCGCCAACCAAGGGTACAGCACGAGTAGAACAAGGAGGGGCCGTGAGGAAACATTGCTCACATGCATCCATAACTTCGACATGACTTATGAGTTGCATTAGTTCCCTTTTTTCATTTTTTTTTCATGTTACTTCCTGTTTCTAAAAGCGTCCACATGAAGGGTGTCCATTTAAATCCATTTGTGTGCGTTTGTATTACCTCCTCAAAGACTTCTTTCTGCTTCACTTCAACTCGAGTGCACTTCTCTGTTCTATTCTACACTAACATGACTCAACCTGTGGATATCATGATTATGTAATCGCTTTGATAGAAATGTACACTTCCATCACCCACACACACACACACACACGCCCTCAGATATATTTATATGTATATATGTTTGTGTGTGTTTATTTGTGTGTTAATCCTGAGCTGCACAGAGGAAGAGATGTCCCCTAGTTATCTCAGATTAGTAAGGTGACTCATAAACCCGTCTCTACACACACACACACACACACACACACACAGACACACACACAGACTGCTCTCTGTGTCCCGTTGATATTTCCGTCTCATTTAAACAGACTTAATTCACTGTGGTTCCTTCACTTCTGAGAGTCTTTACCGTGTGCTGTGTTTGAGGACATGGTGTGTGTGTTTGTGTATGTGTGTGTGTGTGTGTGTATGTTTGATGATAGTCATATGATGTGGAGGAGAGACAGGAAGGTCCACAGGGTCTTTCGCCTTTGACAAAGATAAACACTTCCTACAATTACATAACATCTGCCCTTTACTGTGTGCATGCATGTGTGTACAGTTTTTCAAGTGTGAGTGTTAATATTAGGCTTCGCCTCACAGACGAGGAAATTACTTTAAGGAAATTACTTTGCGGTACATGGTAGCCTGCTAATGGGTGGTAGATTGGTGAGTTATGAGGGAGAAGTTGGTCTTGGCCACAACTTACATAAATAGTCAGATAAGAAGCACAAAAGGCTGAAATTGACGGAGCATGTTTTGTGCAGGAGGAACTCATGCATTTGACAGATAGTGTGAGTCTCTCTGGGCGTCAGCTACACACTTAAATTTACACTTTGAGGTGTAAATGGAATTGTGTGTTGTTGTGACACAGACAGATTCACCCACAGGCTCTTAACTTTGAATTTCTGGGGCCTGTTTGGTTGTTTGGCCATCTAATAATTTGCCTTGATAACTCAGCCATGCAGATAATGTTATATCACAGTATTTCTTTTTTTTCAATGCAGCAAAAATTTAATTTGATGGGATAAAAATCTGCTTTCTAAAACTGTAAAGCAATAAATGGTGTTTTGGTGTCGGTCACGTTCTTTGAAGATCATTTACAAGCTTTGTGATTGAAAATGAGTCCAGCTCAGTGATGAAGTCTGAGGTCAAGTTGGGTTAGAGCTTTCTGATGTGCTCTCCAGTGTGATGTATTGAACCACAGCAAAAAGTCTCGTTTAGAATAATGGCTTTCCATGCCTCCTCTTTGGCTCGCCACCACATCCTATACACCGCTCATTTCTCTGCTCCGGGGTGGATGGTTGCTTGTTTGCCAGCACATTGTAAGTCCCCGACAAACATCCCATTTTAGATCAAGGAGTAGCTGCACAGCCATATAGACAAAACCCCTTTGTCAGTGTTTTCATACCAACCTGAAGGCTGGGGACTGTTTATATAAATAAAGCCTTTTTCCAAAGCTTGAGAAGCCCAGATCTAGCGTGCCACCACTAGGCGTGTTGGAAATTATAACAGTGTTTGTAAGTGACTAACTTGTAACAGAGAACAAATCATCTCTCTTAGCAACAAAATCCAAAAACAGACGCATCGCTTTGGGAGAGAAATTGCACAACACTGATTATAAACAAGCCCTTTGTACACAGCATGTCTTAATGTGTAAAGGTTTTCTCGAGATGAAGAAGAGGATGAAAGAGGATATGAAATTGAGGATATGAAATTGATCCTGACTTGAGACTTAAAGTTGTAGTACTCTAAGATCAGTTTACTTGTCATGGTTAGTATTACCAAGGTTGGGAAAACAAACAAAAACACATAATCCTGAGATCATCAAGATTGTTTCTTGGATTTAAGGGGAACGTACTAACTGAGGGTGTAGCGTTTGAAAGACGTAGGCAGTGAGTGTCTAACAAAAGACTTTCCCAAGTTGCATCATGGAAAATGTAAGATCCAGTGCTTTTGGAGCTAAATTCACACTGGGGATTAAACTTCAGGATATCTTGTACTCGGCTGAACTGATCTGACCTTATGTCTGTAGGATCGTCAATCTGTTTTTAGAATCAAGTCCCCCAACTTAATGAAAGTGCAATACTAAATTCCTGAAGTAAAAGAAAATTGCCCTCCTATAATTTTACGATTGCTATTTTAAAAAGGTGTCCAAATATTTTAAAGACATGTCTTAGATGATCCATTACTGTTTCACTGATTCCCAACAAATAATGCCTTGTGAAGCAGATTGGAGAGTGATTTCCACTTGACCTTAAGTCACTGGACGGTGACCACACAAAGTCATCAAATAGTCACAGTGATGCCTATATTGGGTAAAAATGTCCCTCTGCATGCACAACACAGCTTTATCAGGATCATTATGTCAGAGGTAGAGTTAGTCAGTGACAGATGACCTTAATTCACCACTCAAGTGTCCATGCAATGGATGCTGGGATATTCAAAAGTGGACAAAAAAAAGAGCCGCATGTTTTGTGTGAACTTAGAGGACCCTTTGGAACAGGGCCACATTGTTGACCCTTTATGACGTATTAGTCTTAAAGTGCGTACTTCAAAGGAGGCGGCCCCTAAACAGGGCCACAGCCGTGCCAGAGAAACGGATCATTCAATTTGCTCTTCTTAGCTTTACTGTGGCTCAACCGTTTTATAGGTAAACTTCTTTCAACTATTTATACAGTATGTATATATGTGTGTGTGTGTGTGTGTGATGTTTGTACCGTCAGCAGAACACTAATGCGTGGTGAGAATGTGTGATATTCCCCAGCGAGCAGAGAAAAGCACACTCCCAGCAGTCAGTGGCTTCTCCTCCCTGTTGCATAACACGTCTCTGGACTGAAGCGAGCGTGCATGTGAGCGTGCACATGAGTGTACATTGTATGGCGAGGACTGAGGGCTGTTGTTTGGACCACCATGAGTATAATGTGGGACAATGGCTGAATGTGTGTCACACATGCGGCTGGTACATGTGAGAATCTCTGGATAGATGTGGATCTGAATGAACTTCAGTGTTTGGATATTGATGTATTGTTGCAGATATCTGATCTGCTTAGGATGTTATAATGTAAAAGTTAACAACAAAACTTTTTCAAGTTTTTGCTGATACGACTGTATATTACTGCTCATTGATCTCACTATAGTGTGTTGCAGATATGAGAAAAAGCAGATAATCCAGATCTCTGCAATGCAATGATTATCTTATGATTATTATGATTATTTCTTGAAAACTTGTACATCTTGCACTATCACGTGTTATTTTAAATAGTCTGAACTAATTGGCGAGTTAATGCACAACAATGGTGCTGTATTCTTATCTAATGCTGTGTGCGTAAATTCTCAGAAAAGTATGTTGATGGCACCATTTTTGTAAAAACAAGCAGAATAATCAGATGGTTTTTGTGGCACAAATAAGATTTCCACTTAAGTCAGCAGTCTAGTGTAATAAATGTCAACAGTCACGCTGTCCTGATAAAAAGCTGTTCAGTGAAGTTGTGCTCAGGCTGAGGGGTGCCTTGAGATGAATGCTGACATCAGCATGTATGATGTTTACCATGTTCATCATCTTAGTTTAGCATGTTAGCATGCTAATATTTGCTAGTGAGCACTTCACACGAAGTACATCTGAGGCTGATGAGAATGTCATTAGTGGTACAGGCATTTAGTATTAGACAAAGTGAGAAGTCCGTCATAATCAGTAGGATTTATCATCTGGAGATCGTGAATATCTACAAAAAATTCTGCCAATTCATGTAGTAGATGTTGAGATATTTCACTGGGTTAAGTTGAGACTTTGTTGAAACTTTGACATGCTGCAAAATAATTGCCCTTTAACTGACTCGTGAAACAAGAGTGATACTGGCAGAGGCAGCGTTTTATTGGACATGTGATCTGTTGTATTTCTGGTGTTGTTGCATCGGGATTAACACACAATGAGAACAGAGTGTGCAGTGTTCTTATTTCCAGTGTTTGGGAGAAACACAAGGAGAGACAGAAAAAGGAAAGCAAGATCATTCTCAGAATAGCACAACACCACAACAAGCCCTCTGTTTGTTATGGCCTTCAGCCCTCAGCTCTCTTTCCTCTGCATGTGAATGTGTGTGTGTTTGTGTGTGTGTGTGTGTGTGTGTGTGTGTGTGTGTGTGTGTTTCCTTGAAGCAGCCATACTGTTCTCGCCTGTTCAGGCTGTTCTGAGTTCACATGGACCTCCTCTCACTGCGTCTGCATGAGTGCAAGAGAAAGGAGGGGGGAGGGAAGGAGGGAGGGGGGGGGTAGGGGAAGGAAAGGGAGGAGACAGGAAAAGAACACACTGTCAGCGCACCGGGACGCCTACGTATGTGTGTGTGCGTGAAAATGTGCACGAAGCCCACCCGTCTACAGCTCATACTAGTCAAACCGGACATCCAGACATTACTCAAGCATTTTCCTCATATTTTTTTCACCCGACTGAGGAAGAACCCAATGTAACCTCATTCAGCACTCACCTTGGAGACCACCGTCACCCTGACCTCTGACCTCTCTGTCGAGGATGTGGAGGAGGCGGGAGAAAATAGAATTTCGCTGCCGAGAACCATGAATAATGGGGTTATTTTGACTCTGATCCTTTTATGTAGATTTGTGGGGCAGAATCAGATTCACCTCATCTCTGGGCCGCCTCAGAAAATAACTGCTGGATTTTTTTCAAGCCAAATACAAAAGGGACAAATATTTCAAAATATCCCTTCATGAACCATGAAGCTCACAGTATTCTAAATATGATCAGAGAGCAGAGGGAGTGTTTGCTATTTTAAGGCCTGAGATGATTTGCTATTTAAGGCTAATTTTGGTGCTTTTCTGTGTGTGTGTGTGTGTGTGTGTGTGTGTGTGTGTGTGTGTGTGTGTGTGTTCCAGATATCTGGTCTCTCGGGGTGATCCTGTACATGTTGGTGTGTGGAGTCCCTCCCTTTCAGGAAACCAACGACAGCGAGACCCTCGTCATGATTCTGGACTGTCGCTACTCCATCCCAGAGCACGTTTCAGACGACTGCAGAGAGTGAGTGTGGAGGATCAGTCACACATATACTGCACATGAAACGAGACTTATACCAAGATGAAGGCCCCCGTCTGACCACAGCTTAAAAAAAAAAAGAAAAAAAGATTTATCTGTAAAATACAAAGCAACTTTATGATATTTGCACGTTATTCTCTCCCTGAGATTTTCTGCTGCTGAATAGACGTGGTGTCCTAAAGAGCTACCGACTGTAAAATCATCGCATTAATCTACGTTTCAGTGGATAATTTTAGTGTCCTAATTGTCTCGGACATTTTTTCCGGCCTGCTGCAAATACAGTGATTACTCTCTTGGCATGAAACAGCGTGTGTATCTACAGTATCAAACACTGGCTATTGTTTTCATTAATACAAAAATATCTGTGGCCTGAAACTTTAAACTGCACACAAACACACTCTTGGAACAAAATACAAGTCAATGTGTCCTCTCACTTAACCTTCAGGACAGCAGGGTAAACATCAGTGGAGTTTTAACTACGAGAGTGAAGGATGTTACTCTCAGATAAAAACCTGAAAAAACACAGTCTTCCAGATGATTTCATTAGCTCACTCTTGACTCTACAGAGGAATAATCAAAATAGGAGGAGGATGCTTGGACCAACAATGAATGCTTCCCACCGCTGTCTGTGTACCATAGAGCTCCATTAAAAACATATCAGTGACCCACACTGTTGCACAATGTAGTTTATTTTAAGTCAATCCCACATTACAGTGATACAAGCACTCACTAGAGCAACAAATGTGTATTAATCCACAGCGGAAAGTAGTCCCCCAAGAATGCATTATTTAATCCTGTTTGAATAACATTTGCTAAAAGCTACAGTGCCCAGCTGTTTTAGGAAATTACAGAGCCATTTTAAAAATTAAATTATATGTTACATTATATATTTATGAGCTGTTTTTTTTTAAAAGAGCTACATCTTCGGGCAGGGATGGGTTTGGGGCTGAGTGTCAAAGACAGGGAAGGAAATTCAGAAAGTATCAAGAGACAGACTGACACACGGTTGTTTTGGTCTTTGCATTGAATTTGTGGACGATTAAAAAAATATAGAATTAAACCAGCATTATCCTTCAAACATGAGCATATATATATATGTATATATGTATATACATCCAGGATAGTGAAATCGGTGGTTTAAAAATACTGAAACCTGCCAGTTTGGTTAGTGTGGTACAAATTGCACCATAAAAACTGAGCAACAGTGCAGGTTGCATGCGTAAAACAACAACAACAGTATCTCTGCATGCTGTTCTCACTCTGGACGCTTACTGAATGAACGCCTTTATACACATGTTTCTTCTCCATGCAGATGAAGTTAGAAGGCGACAGGCATAAATATTAGCTGCGGCCGCAAACACATCCTGCAACATCTGACCCTGCGCTCGTCATATGACTCAGCCCTCGGTCACATGAGGGTGTGTTTGATGTCGGAAAATAAGGAGAATAGAAAGAAAAACCTTCTGAATATTATAAACTCTTACAGGTTTCAAGCTATTTCAGTATTATTCAGAGTTAAGATGTGTGGATATGGCCTAGATCAGCTCTAAATCAGGTCATTCTCTGCATCAGATCAGTTTGCTTTAATGGCTGATCACTAAAATGTGAAGCAAGTAACCAGCACCGTGTATCCTCTTCATTAAACAGTACATCCCTCTGTCCTCTCCTCTGTCAGTCTGATCTCCAGGATGCTTCAGAAGGATCCGTCTCGCCGTGCCTCGCTTGAGGAGATCGAGGCTCATGACTGGCTGCAGGGGTTGGACAACGCGCTGCTCAGCCCAGAGGCCCCACCATACTGGCTCTCAGGGGCCCTGTCTCCCAGCTCTCCCCGCTTAGGAGTGCCAGAGTGCGGGGACTTGCTTGCTGCGAGGCCCCCCTCTCAGCAGGCTTTCCCCGGGCCCTGGCAGCCCAGTCTCAGCTACACCCTCCGTCCACCTCCAGCTGAGGAGCCTCCGGTTACCAAGAACCTGCCTGCACTCCAGCAGATCTGTGAGGAGGAAGAGGAGGAGGAAGAGGAAGAGGAAGAGGAGGGCATTTTGGTACAAGAGGGAGAATGTTTGGCATCTGTGTTAGTGACAGAGCCAGAGAAAGAAGCTGAGGAGGCAGGTGATGAAGCACATGATCAAATCTGCAGAGAAGAGGAAGAAAGAGAAGACTCAGTGGAGGAAATAGAGGAGGATGAGGCGGCAGCGGACGACAATATGGAGACAGAGATGGAAATAGAGAAAAAAGACAGTGGGTGTGTGATTTCAGACCAACCAGTCAGTCATGGAGACAAGTCTGTGAGTCAGACTCCTGAAGTCCCGCCGTCCTCTCTGCCTGGTCTGGGGGTCCCGTGTTGTCAGGGGCAGCAAGACCTCACAGCTGCAGAGGAAGGAACGGACGAGGAGACAGAACCCAACAACAACACCAACAAACCCCCTCCCTCCATCCCTGCGTCCTCTGTCAGACTCGGCCTTAACTGTAAAGATGCTCCAAAGACAGAGAGAGGAGGCGAACAAGAAGAAAAAACAGAGGAAGATGCACGACAAGACCTCATAACAGACAGACCGCAACCCCACAATGCACTTGGGACCCGGGATGAGGCTGCTCCGAGGGTGGAGCAGGGGAAACGACACAGCCTAAAGTTGCGTGAGAGACTCTTTCAGTTCCCTCTGTGTGAAAAAGCTCTGGCCTTCAACATACCCACTCACAACAAGCCCAAGATCCTCCCGCTGGCTCAGTACAACTGCTGCCATGTGCTATAAGAGGAACCAGCCCGGGTGCTATCTGTGATGTGCCGCTCAACCACTTGGGACATACGAGCTTGTTTAGCATTCGGCAAGTGGCTGACTAGTGAGCACAGACGCTGTGAAGTGGCAGACCACTGAGCTCCCCGCTGAGCCTCTCCACTGCACAGAGGAAAGGCCCTCGGCATGCAAACACCAAGTGTACAGGATGGGACGTGTACAGCTTCATACCTACTAACACTCGGTTTATTGTGCTCATGTAATCAACATTGTGTTAAGCTGAAGGTGGTGTACAGCACAGTAGTCAGACTTAGTAGAACCTCATCCATTTTGCTGCTGCGTACAGGAGCAACCATAGAATTGCAATGAGAAGACTGCGTCCAATCTGTAGCTTAGAAACAATACTGAACCTACCTGCACAGGAAGGCAGGGGACAGCAAGAGATAGACATAACAACTGCAACAGTTTTTACTGAATAAGCTATAGTCTGTTTTGTTTGTTCAAAAGGTGCCTACAATGATAAAAATGGGTTTCATACTGTATGTGGCCACTGTGTCGTTTCGGTTCTGACTGTAAAAAGAAAAAAAAAAAAACAAGCTCTTAAGGTCAGAATATTCTAGCACATGCACTCAGTAGATCCATGATTTCATATTTTATATTGTATAAATTAGAATAAACGTCGAACCAGCTTCTGCTACAGAGTAGCACTCGTTTCCTCCTCCCTTTGCACAACCTGCTTCTCTCGTTAATATAAGCTTAAGATAAAGAAAGACTGAGACTGTTATGAAATGATATGATATGATATGATATGATATGATATGATATGATATGATATGATATGATATGATATGATATGTGCCGAAGACTGAGATGATGATTTTTTTCGTTCTCTTAATGCTAAAGTCTTATAACTATAATGGCTTGTCCTAACATACTGTATGATACTGTTTATAGGACCACTGATCGTTGATTGGGATGCAGGTCTTCCATAGTATTTGAAGATATTCTTTTTGATTATATTGAACATTTGAATAATATTTGATCATAACAGTTTTATTTTGAATGTGCAGATATGAAGTTCCTTATTTTTTCTTTTTTATAATATGACAAAGATATTAATTCTCTGAAGAGATATGTGACTTTGTGCATGTTATTACTGTTATTTATCACAATATACCTCCATGTGTCTTGGATCTAACAGGATCTTATTCTTGTGTAACTGTACCTTTAGGTAACCCATTGAATGATGAATTGCACACAGTACAACTATTGTAGCTGGTAGCTTACTACAAGCAGTATTCTGGGATTGATGGATGGATTTGTTGGTCATTTGGACCGAATAACAGTGACATGTTATTGTGTAGCCGAGGAGTCCCTCCACATGGTATTATTCTACCATATAATGCCTCAGTGTATTCCTATATTTTCACAAGCATACTACGTTTTCCTTCTTTGGAACCTCAGACATGAAGAGTAAAGATTTGTAGAGTAACAGAAGGCCAAAGCTGTACAATAAGCTACATCCTCCTCTTATAGTTCAGTAAACAGAGCTTATTCCTGTTAGTCACTGCAGCTTCATGGGTTCAACAAATTGGATTTTTAACTCGTGACCTGTGAGCGGACAGTCCTCGCCTATATACGGAGCGACTGTCACGTGAAATCTGATTAATTGCTCATATTTCATCAACCGTGGAAGCATCAAATCTGTGCAGAAGAGGGATAAAATCCCATTATTTGATCCTGTGTGATTGCAGCCTGTCTCTCCTCAGCGTGTCTGTGTCTACTGACCTGCATTATAACTAGGACCACGTCTCTATGGAGCCATGAACTTATTTTTCTGTATTTATTTATTAAAATGGATTAAATCAACAGATGGATGTGTGCAGTGTGTTTATTTTACAGAGACACTCTCCAAATGCTACCTTATACTTCTCCTCCACCTCTCCTCACCTTCACTATTAAAAATGACTCCATTACATTTATTTATCAGTTTCTTCTCAGGTAAAGATGTAAACATATGATTTATTTATTAATTACATAAAATACAGTTGTGGCTTTTGTCCCCTTATAATAAAAAATGTTTTTTACAATACAGAGCACTTATCCAAAGTGCTTTACAGTTTGCCATCCTCTCTCATACACACACACACACACACACACACACATTAATGTATTGACCTGTATCTGCCAATCCACTCCGCCTCCTGAGCCGCAGCGCCCCCTTAATAAAAAAGTTGTGTCTGGTTTGAGCCTCTTGTCATGCTTCAGATGTGTTTGAGTTGCTATCAGTTACAACAAAGAGGGATTTCCACTCTCAAATGCTTTTATGTAAATAACTGTTTGAGGTCCAAAAAGGTCAAGTGAATATTTCACAAGAAAATGAAAAATAGAAAAAAGTCCAAAATACAAATCTGTGTATAAAAATGATTTTTTTCCTCTTTCCTCTTCCATAAATCATCTCACAACCCCTCAGTTTTTTTTTTGTTTATTTTACCTGACTGTACTTTAACTTACTTCTGCACCGTTGCACTGGTACTTCTGAATATTTCTTCCATCGCTGCCCCACAGTGGGTTCATCGCCCTTCAAGACCTCAGGAAATGCTGCTCTGATACGTGATAATGAGCAGGATGTTCATGTGAGGACAGAGGATGCTAAAACACAATGTGGGGCAGAGAACTCTAATAATACTGTATACTTTTATTGTGGTCTAAAATGCATTCAGATTCTTTACTTGAGCAAAAGTTGCACTATCACAATGTGAAATATTCCATTTCAAATAAAAGTCTTGCATTCAAAATACTACTTAAAGTGCAGCAAATCATACTTTATCAGTATTTATATGCAGGTACATTGGCTCCTGTCAGTACATTATGTAGGAGCCGTTTATCATGTTTGTTTATTGTTGTTTATGGTTTACATCAGGCCATATCACAGGTGACAGTGGTAGCTGGTAATGGCAGGGGAGGTTTAATGTGACGCAGGTGCAACAGATCCTGTTAATCAGGAACTGGTAACGGGGAGATCGCACGGTTTTTTACCGCTCATTCTCCAGGCACAGAAAAGCGAAGGCCCCCCATCACATCATATTTCACCTTTGCAATAGAAAAGTACTGTTAACCGAATTCTTTAGTAAACGGGAAACTTCATCAAGCAGTAAACACTGCGTGGACGTCCATTCTTGAAGTCTTGTCCCGCACCCAGCCGCGTGGCTACAATCAGGTCAGGACAGTCACTACATGTTATTTTGTTCTGTTACTATTAAAATGCATTAACGTGAAAGGAGCGTTTTAATGTTGTAGAACTCATATATTTCAGAATATGTTCCTATAAAATATAGAGCTGCAACTAACAATTGTTTTCATTATCAATTGATCTGCCTATTGTTTTCTTAAATTAATGATTAATTGTTTGCTTTGTAAAATGTTAGAAAAGACATAACAACCTTCTGTTGTTGCCTTCTGTATATTTTATTTTAGGTCAACTCGCAAACATAGGCACCTCTGTTTTTGACCTGAAATCCTGATCCTATAGGACCAGATTATCTCCAGGTCTGTCTTCATTGTCCTCATCACAACACCTCATCACAGTGTACACACACGAACACACACAGGTTTATGATTAGTGTCAGAGTGAAAATAAACAACAGCTGAGAACGTTTTTCACCATCCTTCTTCATCTTTGCTGAATCAGTCTTTCAGCAGCCACCGGGGCTTGTGAAAAACTGCATGTTGAATTTAAAAATAAAGATTTAAACGTGTATAGCGCCTCCTGGTGGCTGGAAAGAATACAAACTCCTGCAAACAATAACTTACATAATAAACAATACACCACTGTTCAGCAAGTATGAAAGAAAAGGATGGCTTCATCAGCTTATTCATTATGTGAATTCAAATGTGCCAGCAGTTAAGAGTGAACAATGAATTAACACTCATAGCATGAATGTGAAGTATTGGACTATGACATGTATTAGTTTTTGCACCACAGTGAACTCAAGCAGTCATTCTTAGAGGCACACAAGTGAGTAACAACTATAATCCATAACACATAAAAAAATAATATATTTCTAATAACAAAGCAGGTAACGGTCCTTTGGTTGCTCCCCATCACTTTCAATGCAAATCTTAAATCTTGGCTGTATTAACTTTATTTTATATATTATTATATTTGATTTTTAATGTGTTCCTTAAGCCATAGTGTGATTACTTTAGGAAAAATTAAGGAAAGGACAGTATCATTTGTGGAGGTAGAATTAATGACAGAAGTGCAATGTTTTTTTTCTGTTCAATGAGAGACAAACTTATTTCTCATGAATTTATGGATTTGTTGTTTAGAGTCAAATTAGGACAAGAACTTGACTTTTGACATGTAGGCAATTTCACTTAAAAAGGGGGGAAACAGTTAGCCTAGCTCTACCCAAAGGTCACAAAAACCCGTTAAGCTCACTAATTAACATACATCTCATCTGGCCAAGAAATAGCTCAGCATTTAACCACAACGTGTCATTTTCACACTTTGGTTTTTGTACGGAATAAGCAAATAAAATATAACATGCTAATTACTGAGCTTTAGAGGTGCTATTTGTAAAGCAAAGCTAGCTGTTTCCCCTGTTTAAAGCCTTATCCAGGTATCAATTACCGTCTAACTCTAGACAAGAAAATATACACATTTCCCAAAATTATGAACAATTGCTTTGAGATCTTGGGAGTTGTTATAACATAAATAGCTGGCAGAAGATTTTCTCAAATTAAACCTGCAAAAATGTATAAATTTTTTGCCACAGCAACACTAAAATATTCAGTAGAGCTGAAGGGAACTGCATCTTCAGGTGTATATAATATTTGATTAAAGCAGCTTTAAAGTTGCTGCCTTTTGTGTTATGATAACTCCAATGATGATACTGTCCTCTGATTATGAATCCTGAACACTAGCTGTAGCTTATCACTAGGTGGTAGCACTGAGTAAAACACTGCTGAAAGAGTCATCTTCAGAGGAAAAAATAACTGGAACTTTTTGCCCAATAATCTGTCTTTGACCCTGCCAGTAACATTAAATACTCTTTCCTGTCAGTCCTTCACTGAAGATTGACCGTACATACTGCAGCTATGCTGATCTTACAAGAGCTATGACAGCTTTCTTTTACTAAATCTGAACAAACCTCCTTTATCGTAACGTATCGTAATCTTTTCAAATAACCAATACATTCCATCTGCTGTCTAATATTGGAAAAAAAACATTTTAACTACTGTTTCAATTGCACTTGCAGTCTATGTGTCGAGTAATATGAAGGTGCATTTTAATTTTAAAGTGTGCACATTGCAGAAGCACCCTGTTAATTAAGAGAGCACAGCAGAAACACTTTAACAGTATACACAGGGAGTGTTAGGGATACAGCAGTAATCACTGTGGGCCGCTGCTGGAGAGGTCCGCACAACACTGAGGGGGTGGCACTGTATCCTCTGGCGGTAGCAGCCCCGCACAAGATGACACAAAGCACCAGCTCAACACTTTGAAACGCAACCAGGACTCGTCAGAATGCAGCTGGGTTAACCTGCTGCTTGAGAGCCTGCATGGACGTGTACTCAATGTGCTCTCTCTTTTTGCGGATCCAGTCGGGCTCGTCGGGGATCAAGACTGCCAGAATGACCTTCACCAAGATGAGCACATGCTGCAAGGACACAGAGGTAAAAAAAAAAAATGTAAGGGGGAGGACACACACATGTAATTATTTTGCATTTGTCTCTCATTAATCCCTCTGTCCTCCATCTTACCTCCACCAAAACAGCCAACAACAGAATGTCTGTGCTGTTCATCCCACCCTCCTGACACAGCTGCTGTAACCGTGGTGACAGCAGCAGCAGCCAGCAGTTGGACACGACAGAGACAAAACTCAGGACTTCGAAAGCAATCTGAAACACAGGACAATGACATGAGCTGTTCATCCATAACTGGCTGAGTGTGACACACCGGGTGCGTCTCATTTCTATTGTGTGCTGTGTTTTCTGCCGACCTGCCACACGCCCATGTTGGCCACAGGCGGCGAGAAGGGTTTGCGGAAGAGTTTGCAGATCTTATAGGCGTCCGCTCGGATCTCTGTTAGGTTGTTGATGAGCAGCAGCACCGCAGTCAGAGGGTAAACACAGGAGAAAAGACTCAAATACCCAAACTGCACCAGGAGCTCAATGTACTCTGCGAACAGGCCCTGTAACAAAACAAGAAGCTTGCTATCATACACTTCCAAAAGGCATTTGTTTTGACCTGCATTTTTAACAAATTCTTAATGCTGTATACACACAGGGAAAGCAGGAAGGGTGCTTTGGTTTCTAAATTTGTCCTCCTGTGGGTCATCTTCACTCTCTGTCCTATGGGGGGCGCTGATGAACCGGTCCACCAGGAAGGGTATGACCACCTCTGTCACCTGGTTCACCAGCTGGGTCACTATCAGCAAAGACCCTAGACGCTTCAGACAGAAGGGGGAAGAGAATATGTGATTTTCTTTTGTTCACCCTGGAATTATTTTCATTTCATTCACTGACTTTTTTGATCAATTTGAACTCATTCTGAAAGGGCCGACAGGTTTTACATCTAAAGATCAGCGTATATACAAAGAGCAACTAGGGATGTTTGAACCTTTGCTGCCTTGATTTTGACTGATTGTCTGATGCATGTTCCTCAGGTTTATGCAAGCGATGTATTGAATTGTTGCAGTACCACCTTAAAGAACTTAGGGACCAGTAGAGCTGAGCTGTTACCTTACGGAGCAAAGGCACGTCCTGCTTGAAGAAGGCAATGTGGAACAGCACGGCAAAATAGTTAAAGAAGGTGAACTAGGGGAAAATAGAGAAAAGAGTGAAGTGAATTAGCCTGTTAGATTAGCATTTATGAGCTAATGGTTCATGAAGAGAAGAGGAACTTACCACCAAGACTTTGGCTGTAAGATGCTTCTGGAAGGCCGACTCCTCTCTGTGGTTCTCTAAGAGGACATAAGAAGAGGTCATTGGTTTTCCATCAGCATTATAGGCAATTGTCATTCATTGTATTGTATTATATTATTCTATTATTTGTAAGATTGCATGAGCTGTTAAACTGCACTCTCATGATGACTTTCACTTCTCTTAGGTCCCACATCTTCCTCACATCCTCCTTCTGACTGCATCTGTACCAGTGTTCACCAGCTACTTATATATATATATATATATATATCCCTGTACTCATAAATATCTGAGTCTTCATTCTCCCTCTGGCATCCCCTCGGTCTTACTTACCATATTCAGTCAGAGACTGGGCCACCTTCTTGTAAACAGTCGCTAGCATATTTGTATAGCTGATGTGAAGCACTGAGGGCATGTAGAGTAAAGTCTGAGACAGCAGGGAGTCCCAGTCTTTGTGTAGGTGTTGCACCTGGGCCTCTCCCCAGTAGAAACAAAGCATACCCAGAACCACCAACCCTGCAGGAGGAGACGTGACAGGGCAGGAGAGGTGAGGGGGGAGGAAGAGCTGAGAAGAGGTTTTGCAATTTTTAATAAGAGACCACACTTCTTCATGTTTCATACGCTTGTGAGCACTTCACCTTCAGCCAACATTGACTTTGTTTTATTGCTCAGTAGATCTTTGGGAAACTTTAATGATACTTCAGCTCAGTAACATGCACCCATGAATTCACTGAATTGAAAATGAAAATGAAGGTCCTACCTAGAAAGAGCCCCACCACTGGGACCGACACCAGGGCCATACGCAGGTCTCTCTGCCATTCAGGAAAGAGGGGCTCCACACGACCTGTCACAGGGTTGACCCCAAGGTCACCGTGAAAACCAGGCCGGGGCTCTGCGAAGCGCTCGGCCAGGTGCAGGGTCCCCCAACGGTACGACAGAGAGGAGCTCCTACGTTTCCACAGCTCCATGACCACCGTGGACCAGAGCATGCTGAACACAGCCTGGATCATGTGACCACTGACCGCTGGTCCTGAATCATCTTCAACATTTGTGCCCTGTGGGCCTGAGACTGACTCCACCATCTCCTTCTGAACCTCACCTGTGATGGGCAAGAAGAACTTTGTGGCCAGTTAGTTTGTTTTTCAGTTTACATCATCCATCAGCCTAAATTACAGAGTAATTCTCAAAAGCTGGAACACCAATAAATCGAACTGAAGCAGGAAGAGTGAAATCCAGACTGTGTTGAAAACATTCATCTATCCAGAAATGTGGATTCGCTAAAATATCTTTTGCCACAATACTGACACGGCTCGGGGTCTGTTGTCCCAACGCTTGAATCAAAAGTGAAAAAAAAAAAAAAGATTACAATTGGAGGGACCATTATCAATAAATTTGGTACAAACACTGGCCTCCAAACGATGTATACCGATGGTTCTGGTGGTACTTTGTCTTTTCATCACAGGATACCTTTTTAAAATGACAGAATTTTCATCCTGTCAGCCTCAGCAGTAGTTTGAACCTATGTAATATTAGCATTTTAACACAGCAACATGCTCACAGATAGCATGGTAACATCCAAACATTAGCATGTCAGCTCATACTGATCTGTTCTCAAAGTTATAAATTAGCATATTAGCAAGTTAACTTGCTAATATGCTAAAACTTATGTGCTAATGTCATATTATTAGCACCTAATAATTTTTTAACATGCATGTGTAGAGGATAACTACAGGCATGTTAGTGTTAGCTTTACCTTGAGCTGAATGCTAATGTTGCTTTGTTATGCTAACTTAGCTAAATAGTCTTTATCTGCTGCCACCCTCAGGAAACGCTTTAGATAGCAGTGGCCAAAAATAAATTTTTCCCAGTAGTAAAGGGTAAGTATGGAAGCCAAGAGTGGCAATAATTTAATAAAGCTGTTTTCTTGTGATAATGGGATAATTGTCTTATAATACAACAGGCTGTTTCCTCAAGATAACAACATAATCAAAATGTTTTCTTGGCTTCCACAGATATGAGCATTTCAGCTTCACAGGGCCACGTGGATGACAGACTATAGGTCTTGTCTGATCCTCTCATGTCCCTTTATCTTAAGGTGCAAAGCATCACACCAGCCAGTGAAAATGAGCGTGCTGTTGGCTGGTTACTTACATAAAGTTTCCTGACTCCCCAGTATTCAGATTTAAAGTTCAAACAGTTGTTGCTGTATGTGCTGCTGACATTAAAAAACTAGCATGTGCAGCTTTAAGATACAGAAATTATCAAGTTGTGAACAGGTTTTGATTAAAGAAATGTATATGTAATATTTCTCGATTCCAAAGGTAAAATAAAGTTTTTGAGGTCATACCCACAATAAAAAATAAATGATAAATCCACACACCTACCTGAGAAGTATGTGATAGACAGGCCTAGTACTGCAGGTGGGAGTAGAGACCAGGTGTAGAAATCAAGGAAGCTGAAGTAGAAAGCCACAGAGCTTCCAAAATATCCATTGACTGAATCTGAATGAATCAACAGACAGAGGTGTCTGGTCACAGGCAGAAACCAGAAGCTTTCAAACACCTTGACATCTATTGTGTGTGTGTGTGTGTGTGTGTGTGTGTGTGCGTGTGGTGTGTGTGTGTGTGTGTGTGTGTGTGAGAGAGAGAGAGAGTTAGTGATGCTTGTTTCCACCCACCCAGTGGCTGAGCCAGCTGATTACCAGAGTACCAGGCTTCACTGAGATCCTTCAGCTGGTCTGGGTTGTGGAGGGGAAACGTGTCCTTAATCACACCAGCTGACCCAAGCTTCTGCCCTGCAACAATGCACATGACATCAAAACAACACTTCAAACCAAAGTGACTTCAGAACATGACATTTTTGCAACGACGCAATAACTAATCCATATACAGTTACATACATACATACTAGTGCACACACACTGAAATTGATGCTGAGTAAAGCAATTTCAGGATTGAATTTGAGGAGAGAAGAACAGCGGAGGTCAGCAAGACATAGATACACATAGTACTGTTGGATACTGGATGACAATGTGATGATGGTAATTCAAAACAAACATTTACATGACTGATAATATGTCAGAAAACAAAAACTGTCGTCCAAAAAATTCTGTCATTATCATGAACACACACACTGTAATTTATTTTGACCCAATCCTATATATTCATCGTCCTGCTACCAGATATACTCACTTGATAACCAAATGTTTATTCATCCTCCTGAACAAATGCACTATTTACCCTTGTTTGAATAACGTTTGCTAATACAAACGGTATCCAGCTGTTTAAGCAAATGATAGAGCCTCTTTTAAAGATGAAACTATAACACTTGCGACCTGTTTTTAAAAATGTAAATCTTCATTAGTAACATACGGCTGAGTGCTACAGACAGGGTGGGGAAGTCAAAAAGGAACAGACTAACACATTGTTGGTTTTGGTCTTTTCATGGGATTTGTTGACAATAAGTTAAAACCTAGAATAATACCAGCATTATTCTTTAAAGTGGTGATCTTCAGCTGCTGATTGTGTGTGTGTGTGTCTGTGTGTGTGTCCTGAGGCATTAAAAACATTTAAAAACAAATCAGAAAACCAAAATCCTAACCCTCACTTTGTCGTCACATTACTCCAATAATAAGTGATATTATTATTATTTATCTCAATGGATATTTTTCAGTTTTTACATTTGATTTCTCCATACTGATCTGAAATCTAAAAACACAGTGAGAGTACTCACAGATGTTGTCTCGGTGTTGCAGCGTGTAGTCGTCAGACAGGCCGGGTATTCTCACGTCTCTCTGTGCTCGCAAACCGTCTAGCTCATACTTCACTATGTACTGTCGCTCCGCCAGCGTCAGGAACACCTCCATGTTGTCTGTCGCACACATGAACAGATACAGATACATTCATACATGAATACAAACAAACATGCAAATACCAGCCTTTCCACTGAGGAGGACGTGGAAGTAAATTAACAACTATTACAGGACCTCAGCTGGCAAGAGAGAACGACATCCAACTACTTGATTTATGTCTTGACACCAGCTATTTCATGTACAAAGGAACAACCAGCACAGCAATACAGTTTGTCTTTGTCACATAGAAGACATACTTTGCAAGACATTTAATAAGTGTGGACACTGATTGCAGATTTCAGACCAGACTTTTCAGCTCACAGTGTTCTCAGTCTTGTTCCCATTGGAGGGGAATTTATTTCCGTTGAATTGGTTCATTCACTGTTAGAGAATATATGTGTGAGGTACATATGTTTGATTCTATAATCAGTCCAGAAGTACAAAGGGACACAGTGGACAGCTTGAGTCTTGGCAATCTTTGGCAATTATTTTTGCATTGAAAAATTCATTCAAATCGCATGTCCATGTCCAAGTTTTCATGTGAACAGGACTGTGTGCTGCCATTCCACAAAGACCAATATTCTAAGTTCGTACCTATTGTCCTCTTAATTTGAAACAAAAATGTGATGATAAAGTTTTGATGCACTGTGTTGTATTAAAGTACTAACTTACTTGCCTCTCTCATATTATATTAAGTATATTCATGAAGACACTCAAAGCTCCTCTGCCGTACCTGAATCTTTAAAGTTGTCCCTGTCATTGTAGGAGAAGGCCTCCATGTCCCCGTTGCGGTAAGGCTTACACAGACCCAACTCTTCAGTGGCTCGTAGTAATGTACATCGTGGGGCGGAGACCACAATGATGTCACCGCTTGCGTCCTCGCCTGGATGGGCCAGTAATGCAGCACCTGGTGTGGGACAGTAGGGGAAAGAGGGAGTATTGAAACTTTTATTTTGAATTTGTGACCAAAAGAGAGGCCAGTATAGAGAGGGGGAACAGCTATAGTAACCAATAATGATGAATGTACTAAAGATCTAAACCTATCCTTAAAATATTGAGCTGGCCACATTCCTTCAATAGGAAAGAGCTTCTTTCAGTAGTTGATATGTTGTCCAGACAAATAGACAGTGGAGGTGTGAGCTTCATGATGTCAAAGGTAACTGACAGGGCTTTGCATGATTTAGGTGTAATGTACTGAGACAATGAGGAGCTCTGTCTTAGCTAGGTTGACCTTTATGTGCTGGTCTGACATTTAGCCAAAGGAAAAGAGTTGCAGTGTTGTGCATGGACGTGATAAAAGATAATGTTCATGCTAAACAAATAGCTAGCTTTTTTAGCTGTCTTGTTAAAGCTAAATACTGTGTGTACTTATCTATGGAGACAAGTGTTTTTAATTATTTAAGTAAAATTTAAGTATACAGTATTTTAAAAAGTTTAGAGGTTTGGTCCAATACAATACAATTTTTTTTGCTGCCTTTCTGGTATAGAATTTGGAAATTAAGTTGCTTAAGTTGTCTAACTAGCTAACTTAACTCTACGCAAAATATTCAAATCCCAAGCTCCTTGTTTTTATGGTTGTACCATTCCATCAAGTGGAAAACATAATTTTATACAGAATTGCAGAAAGAAATTCAACCTGACATGGTTTCTTTGGAAAGTTTCTGATATCAGTTTCAAACAGGGATCTGTGAGGTGAAACATTGCACAGCATTGGTTTTACTGATGGGTCAACCAGTGTAAAATAAAAAAATATTTGTGTAATCTAAAAAGATTCAACCATGGAGAGGTGAACCCATCTGAAATTCTCCTTCAGATCTCATCCAAAACCATATGATAATAATGAAGTGAAACAAAAAGCTAATGTCATGTTTTATGTCCTAGTTGAATGGTAACAAACCACCAGCATGGAAATGCAAATGCCATCAATGATTAAATGCTAAAGACCTTACAAGCAATGAATCATTTTCAATAGGAACATGGGTGTAAGTTTGCATATGGATGGAGACATGTCCTTACCAATATTTTGAGAGGACAGAATTGTCCCTAACAATATTTGAGTGACTACAGTGACTTCACACTGTGTGGAGTGAATTGATATTAGATCATTACAATGTGCCCTACAAGGGGTTTCCAAGACAACCTATTTAAACATGCTAGCATTTGATTGACTGAAGGGCTTCTGTGTTCTGTAGGCTAGCAGTCAAATTGTCAACAGGAGTAAACATAAAATGGACATATCAAAGTGTGAGTTTAATTTTTGTCAAAAAATCCCATGAAAAACTCACCATGAATATCATGATGTTTTCAGGCCTTACTATACTATACTGTTTTTATGCCTTGTTATACATTGACTTTGTGTGGGAGTGACATGTTGGGGGAATGGTTAGAACTGTTGCCTTTCAGTGAGTGGGTTTGAATCCTATGCATGCTGCCTTTCTTTGTGGAGTTTGTATTTTCTCCCACAATCCAAAGAGATGGACATATGCCTTACTATTCTATAGTGTTTTCATACCTTATTATACTGTGGCTTTATACTGGATTGGCATTGTAGTGCAATGGTTAAAATTTACCTTTCAGTGAGAAGGTTGGGGGTTCAATTCCCAGTTTTGCACTCTTACTTTACAGAGTTTGTATGTTCTCCAACACTCCAAAGACATGTACATACACCTAATTATACTATGATGTTTTTATGACATTTTATGCCTTACTATACTATGATGTTTTTTGACGTTTTTATGCCTTAATATACTATGACGTATTTATGACATTTTATGTTCCGCTATACTATGACGTTTTTATGATATTTTTTACCCTACTGTAATGTGATGTTTTTATGCCTTATTATACTGTGACATTTCTATGATATTTTATACCTTACTATACTATGCTGTTTCATACCTTATTATACGATGCCTTTGCAATGGATTGGCATGATGGTGCAATGGTTAGAAGTGTTGCCTTTCAGTGAGAAGGTGTGAGTTTCAATCCGAGGCTTGGAGGCTTTCTCTGTGGAGGTTATATGTTCTCCCACAATCCAAAGAGATGCACATATGCCCTATTATACTATGACATTTTACGCCTTACTATACAATGACGTGTTTATGACATTTAAATCCTTACTATACAATGACGTTTTTATGAAATTTCATGCCTTACTATACAATGACATTTTGTGACGTTTTATGCCTTACTATACTCTGACTTTTTTTACGTTTTTACGCCATAATATACTATGACCTTTTTATGCCTTACTATCCTATGACATTTTTATGCCTTACTATCCTATGACATTTTTATGCCTTACTATCCTATGACATTTTTATGCCTTACTATCCTATGACATTTTTATGCCTTACTATCCTATGACATTTTTATGCCTTACTATCCTATGACATTTTTATGCCTTACTATCCTATGACATTTTTATGCCTTACTATCCTATGACATTTTTATGCCTTACTATCCTATGACATTTTTATGCCTTACTATCCTATGACATTTTTATGCCTTACTATCCTATGACATTTTTATGCCTTACTATCCTATGACATTTTTATGCCTTACTATCCTATGACATTTTTATGCCTTACTATCCTATGACATTTTTATGCCTTACTATCCTATGACATTTTTATGCCTTACTATCCTATGACATTTTTATGCCTTACTATCCTATGACATTTTTATGCCTTACTATCCTATGACATTTTTATGCCTTACTATCCTATGACATTTTTATGCCTTACTATCCTATGACATTTTTATGCCTTACTATCCTATGACATTTTTATGCCTTACTATCCTATGACATTTTTATGCCTTACTATCCTATGACATTTTTATGCCTTACTATCCTATGACATTTTTATGCCTTACTATCCTATGACATTTTTATGCCTTACTATCCTATGACATTTTTATGCCTTACTATCCTATGACATTTTTATGCCTTACTATCCTATGACATTTTTATGCCTTACTATCCTATGACATTTTTATGCCTTACTATCCTATGACATTTTTATGCCTTACTATCCTATGACATTTTTATGCCTTACTATCCTATGACATTTTTATGCCTTACTATCCTATGACATTTTTATGCCTTACTATCCTATGACATTTTTATGCCTTACTATCCTATGACATTTTTATGCCTTACTATCCTATGACATTTTTATGCCTTACTATCCTATGACATTTTTATGCCTTACTATCCTATGACATTTTTATGCCTTACTATCCTATGACATTTTTATGCCTTACTATCCTATGACATTTTTATGCCTTACTATCCTATGACATTTTTATGCCTTACTATCCTATGACATTTTTATGCCTTACTATCCTATGACATTTTTATGCCTTACTATCCTATGACATTTTTATGCCTTACTATCCTATGACATTTTTATGCCTTACTATCCTATGACATTTTTATGCCTTACTATCCTATGACATTTTTATGCCTTACTATCCTATGACATTTTTATGCCTTACTATCCTATGACATTTTTATGCCTTACTATCCTATGACATTTTTATGCCTTACTATCCTATGACATTTTTATGCCTTACTATCCTATGACATTTTTATGCCTTACTATCCTATGACATTTTTATGCCTTACTATCCTATGACATTTTTATGCCTTACTATCCTATGACATTTTTATGCCTTACTATCCTATGACATTTTTATGCCTTACTATCCTATGACATTTTTATGCCTTACTATCCTATGACATTTTTATGCCTTACTATCCTATGACATTTTTATGCCTTACTATCCTATGACATTTTTATGCCTTACTATCCTATGACATTTTTATGCCTTACTATCCTATGACATTTTTATGCCTTACTATCCTATGACATTTTTATGCCTTACTATCCTATGACATTTTTATGCCTTACTATCCTATGACATTTTTATGCCTTACTATAATATGACATTTTTATAACATCTTATTCCTCACTATACTATGACATTTTATGCCTTACTGTACTTTGACCTTTTTATGCCTTACTATACTATGACGTTTTTATGTCTTATCATAGTAAGACCTTTCTATGACATTTTATGCCTTACTATACTATGATGTTTTTTGACGTTTTTATGCCTTACTATACTATGACGTTTTTATGTCTTATCATAGTAAGACCTTTCTATGACATTTTATGCCTTACTATACTATGATGTTTTTTGACGTTTTTATGCCTTACTATACTATGACGTTTTTATGTCTTATCATAGTAAGACCTTTCTATGACATTTTATGCCTTACTATACTATGATGTTTTTTGACGTTTTTATGCCTTACTATACTATGACGTTTTTATGTCTTATCATAGTAAGACCTTTCTATGACATTTTATGCCTTACTATACTATGATGTTTTTTGACGTTTTTATGCCTTACTATACTATGACGTTTTTATGTCTTATCATAGTAAGACCTTTCTATGACATTTTATGCCTTACTATACTATGATGTTTTTTGACGTTTTTATGCCTTACTATACTATGACGTTTTTATGTCTTATCATAGTAAGACCTTTCTATGACATTTTATGCCTTACTATACTATGATGTTTTTTGACGTTTTTATGCCTTACTATACTATGACGTTTTTATGTCTTATCATAGTAAGACCTTTCTATGACATTTTATGCCTTACTATACTATGATGTTTTTTGACGTTTTTATGCCTTACTATACTATGACGTTTTTATGTCTTATCATAGTAAGACCTTTCTATGACATTTTATGCCTTACTATACTATGATGTTTTTTGACGTTTTTATGCCTTACTATACTATGACGTTTTTATGTCTTATCATAGTAAGACCTTTCTATGACATTTTATGCCTTACTATACTATGATGTTTTTTGACGTTTTTATGCC